ATTTTTCTTGATGGGTCCCCTTGAAAATGGGGTTTTCCCCTATAGGGTCCACGGTGATGGCTATATCTTCCCCACTTCTTATCCGATTCTCAAGCGGAGTACCTTAAACGATTTCTAAATCGATTCTCCACCATTCTGCATCAAAATCCTGAGACGAAATATTTATTCGATTTTTTGTCCATTTTTCTCGATGGATCCCCTTGAAAATGTGTTTTTCCCCTATAGGGTCCACGGTGATGGCTATATCTTCCTCAATTCTTATCCGATTCTCAAGCGGAGTACTTTAAACGATTTCTAAATCAATTCTCCACCATTCTGCATCAAAATCCTGAGACGAAATATTTATTCGATTTTTTGTCCATTTTTCTTGATGGGTCCCCTTGAAAATGGGGTTTTCCCCTATAGGGTCCACGGTGATGGCTATATCTTCCCCACTTCTTATCCGATTCTCAAGCGGAGTACCTTAAACGATTTCTAAATCAATTCTCCACCATTCTGCATCAAAATCCTGAGACGAAATATTTTTTCGATTTTTTGTCCAGTTTTCTTGATGGATCCCCTTGAAAATGTGTTTTTCCCCTATAGGGTCCACGGTGATGGCTATATCTTCCTCAATTCTTATCCGATTCTCAAGCGGAGTACTTTAAACGATTTCTAAATCAATTCTCCACCATTCTGCATCAAACTCCTGAGACGAAATATTTATTCGATTTTTTGTCCATTTTTCTCGATGGATCCCCTTGAAAATGTGTTTTTCCCCTATAGGGTCCACGGTGATGGCTATATCTTCCCCAATTCTTATCCGATTCTCAAGCGGAGTACTTTAAACGATTTCTAAATCGATTCTCCACCATTCTGCATCAAAATGGTAAGACAAAATATTTTTTCGATTTTTTGTCCATTTTTATTGATGGATCCTCTTGAAAATGGGGTTGTTCCCCTATAGGGTCCACGGTGATGGCTATATCTTCCCAAATTCTTATCCGATTCTCAAGCGGAGTACCTTAAACGCTTTGTGGATCGATTCTCCACCATTCTGCATCAAAATCCTGAGACAAAATATTTTTTCGATTTTTTGTCCATTTTTCTTGATGGATCCCCTTGAAAACGTGTTTTTCCCCTATAGGGTCCACGGTGATGGCTATATCTTCCCCAATTCTTATCCGATTCTCAAGCGGAGTACCTTAAACGATTTCTAGATTGATTCTCAACCATTCTGCATCAAAATCCTGAGACGAAATATTTTTTCGATTTTTTGTCCATTTTTCTTGATGGGTCCCCTTGAAAATGGGGTTTTCCCCTATAGGGTCCACGGTGATGGCTATATCTTCCCCACTTCTTATCCGATTCTCAAGCGGAGTACCTTAAACGATTTCTAAATCAATTCTCCACCATTCTGCATCAAAATCCTGAGACGAAATATTTATTCGATTTTTTGTCCATTTTTCTCGATGGATCCCCTTGAAAATGGGGTTGTTCCCCTATAGGGTCCACGGTGATGGCTATATCTTCCCCACTTCTTATCCGATTCTCAAGCGGAGTACCTTAAACGATTTCTAGATTGATTCTCAACCATTCTGCATCAAAATCCTGAGACAAAATATTTTTTCGATTTTTTTTTCCATTTTTCTTGATGGGTCCCCTTGAAAATGGGGTTTTCCCCTATAGGGTCCACGGTGATGGCTATATCTTTCCCACTTCTTATCCGATTCTCAAGCGGAGTACCTTAAACGATTTCTAAATCAATTCTCCACCATTCTGCATCAAAATCCTGAGACGAAATATTTATTCGATTTGTTGTCCATTTTTCTCGATGGATCCCCTTGAAAATGTGTTTTTCCCCTATAGGGTCCACGGTGATGGCTATATCTTCCTCAATTCTTATCCGATTCTCAAGCGGAGTACTTTAAACGATTTCTAAATCGATTCTCCACCATTCTGCATCAAAATGGTAAGACAAAATATTTTTTCGATTTTTTGTCCATTTTTCTTGATGGGTCCCCTTGAAAATGGGGTTTTCCCCTATAGGGTCCACGGTGATGGCTATATCTTTCCCACTTCTTATCCGATTCTCAAGCGGAGTACCTTAAACGATTTCTAAATCAATTCTCCACCATTCTGCATCAAAATCCTGAGACGAAATATTTATTCGATTTTTTGTCCATTTTTCTCGATGGATCCCCTTGAAAATGTGTTTTTCCCCTATAGGGTCCACGGTGATGGCTATATCTTCCTCAATTCTTATCCGATTCTCAAGCGGAGTACTTTAAACGATTTCTAAATCAATTCTCCACCATTCTGCATCAAAATCCTGAGACGAAATATTTATTCGATTTTTTGTCCATTTTTCTCGATGGATCCCCTTGAAAATGTGTTTTTCCCCTATAGGGTCCACGGTGATGGCTATATCTTCCTCAATTCTTATCCGATTCTCAAGCGGAGTACTTTAAACGATTTCTAAATCGATTCTCCACCATTCTGCATCAAAATGGTAAGACCAAATATTTTTTCGATTTTTTGTCCATTTTTATTGATGGATCCCCTTGAAAATGGGGTTGTTCCCCTATAGGGTCCACGGTGATGGCTATATCTTCCCAAATTCTTATCCGATTCTCAAGCGGAGTACCTTAAACGCTTTGTGGATCGATTCTCCACCATTCTGCATCAAAATCCTGAGACAAAATATTTTTTCGATTTTTTGTCCATTTTTCTTGATGGATCCCCTTGAAAACGTGTTTTTCCCCTATAGGGTCCACGGTGATGGCTATATCTTCCCCAATTCTTATCCGATTCTCAAGCGGAGTACCTTTAACGATTTCTAGATTGATTCTCAACCATTCTGCATCAAAATCCTGAGACAAAATATTTTTTCGATTTTTTGTCCATTTTTCTTGATGGATCCCCTTGAAAATGGGGTTTTCCCCTATAGGGTCCACGGTGATGGCTATATCTTCCCCACTTCTTATCCGATTCTCAAGCGGAGTACCTTAAACGATTTCTAAATCAATTCTCCACCATTCTGCATCAAAATCCTGAGACGAAATATTTATTCGATTTTTTGTCCATTTTTCTCGATGGATCCCCTTGAAAATGGGGTTGTTCCCCTATAGGGTCCACGGTGATGGCTATATCTTCCCCACTTCTTATCCGATTCTCAAGCGGAGTACCTTAAACGATTTCTAGATTGATTCTCAACCATTCTGCATCAAAATCCTGAGACAAAATATTTTTTCGATTTTTTGTCCATTTTTCTTGATGGGTCCCCTTGAAAATGGGGTTTTCCCCTATAGGGTCCACGGTGATGGCTATATCTTTCCCACTTCTTATCCGATTCTCAAGCGGAGTACCTTAAACGATTTCTAAATCAATTCTCCACCATTCTGCATCAAAATCCTGAGACGAAATATTTATTCGATTTTTTGTCCATTTTTCTCGATGGATCCCCTTGAAAATGTGTTTTTCCCCTATAGGGTCCACGGTGATGGCTATATCTTCCTCAATTCTTATCCGATTCTCAAGCGGAGTACTTTAAACGATTTCTAAATCAATTCTCCACCATTCTGCATCAAAATCCTGAGACGAAATATTTATTCGATTTTTTGTCCATTTTTCTCGATGGATCCCCTTGAAAATGGGGTTGTTCCCCTATAGGGTCCACGGTGATGGCTATATCTTCCCCACTTCTTATCCGATTCTCAAGCGGAGTACCTTAAACGATTTCTAGATTGATTCTCAACCATTCTGCATCAAAATCCTGAGACAAAATATTTTTTCGATTTTTTGTCCATTTTTCTTGATGGGTCCCCTTGAAAATGGGGTTTTCCCCTATAGGGTCCACGGTGATGGCTATATCTTTCCCACTTCTTATCCAATTCTCAATCGGAGTACCTTAAACGATTTCTAAATCAATTCTCCACCATTCTGCATCAAAATCCTGAGACGAAATATTTATTCGATTTTTTGTCCATTTTTCTCGATGGATCCCCTTGAAAATGTGTTTTTCCCCTATAGGGTCCACGGTGATGGCTATATCTTCCTCAATTCTTATCCGATTCTCAAGCGGAGTACCTTAAACGATTTCTAAATCAATTCTCCACCATTCTGCATCAAAATCCTGAGACGAAATATTTATTCGATTTTTTGTCCATTTTTATTGATGGATCCCCTTGAAAATGGGGTTGTTCCCCTATAGGGTTCACGGTGATGGCTATATCTTCCCAAATTCTTATCCGATTCTCAAGCGGAGTACCTTAAACGCTTTGTGTATCGATTCTCCACCATTCTGCATCAAAATCCTGAGACAAAATATTTTTTCGATTTTTTGTCCATTTTTCTTGATGGATCCCCTTGAAAACGTGTTTTTCCCCTATAGGGTCCACGGTGATGGCTATATCTTCCCCAATCCTGATACGATTCTCAAGCGGAATACTTTAAACGATTTCTAGATCGATCCTCCACCATTCTGCAAAGGATCGGAGAGGTCGCCTTTACTCAGTTGCGCACTTTTGACCAAAATTATAAAACCCTCTGCAAGGGGGTCTTGACTTGAAACTTTCCCCAAACCCATCTTTCCTTTGTTCGCAGTATATAAATAAGTCGGATACGGTCGGTATTGGCCGGCTATATCCTATAGCTGGCATATAAGTGAATAATCGGAAATTCAAATTTTGTCATTTCAAATTGCATAACGGTTGACTATATCTTATACCTGCCATATAAATGAACGATAGGAAATGGTATTTGGTAAAAATATCAACCTTGGTGTATTTGAAGATAAAATATTGGGACTATTTTTTAGATTTTTTATTGTATTGAATTGGATATATTATGAAATTTTCATAAGGATCGGCCAACTATATCGGCCGTTTCTTTTTCCGATGTATGTATATCGGGCATGGGTATATCAACTTCTGCTCCGCCGTAAGTTCGCTTTCCTTTCTTGTTATTTATGTATTATTTTTCCAATATACCTATATTTATTGAAGTTTTTTATATTCCAGATGATGGTGTTAACTCAGCTTTTTATGCCGGACAGCCTGCTCCAGCCAACGTGGTCATAACTAAGCACTAAGTACACGCTGCTCCTAAAAATAGTTATTTATAGTACGGAATACGTGTTCCCCCTTCTTTAGCTGTTTTAAAATAAATAAAAGTCATACAAATTATAAAAAAGGCATATTTAAATATTAGGAACAGCGAAGGTAGCCATTTTTGTTTAAATTTTATTGATTATTGTCTATTAAGCTTTTCGAGTAAGAAACGCCTTAAAAGCTCTTCTCGATTTGAAAATCAGCTGGAAAGTGTGCTGCGACTTCTAAAGTTGTAAACTAAAAATAAGATTGGGAAGTTGATGAAACATCTACAATTTTCGAAACAGAGAAATCAAAAAAGTTTAGAATGTAAAAAAATATATTATGTATAACCAGCCAGTACCCCAGAAAAAGCAATTTTAATTTAGTAAATTTTCTTCTACATTATTATATTGTAGTTCTAGTATTCCCAACAAGGTCGTTTTGAAAACTAGAAACGAAAAAACTGGGTCAAATCCCGCTTATCGGAATTGTGGGGCATACCCGGCTTTGAAATATATATTATTAAGCAAATATGTACATTGATTAAGACTTGTTTTCGGTCTCGCCATAGAGGGTTCAACAAACCCATTAATATTTAGCAGCCCGTATTGTGTTTATTGTGTATTGAAAATTTTTAATTCAAATCGCCGAAATGTCAGACACGATTATCAATTGTGATGTGACCTCCAGGTTTCAAGGGCTATTTAATATGACTGATCTTCGAGTTCTTGAGAATGAAATTCTTGTAATTTATAACAAAATATTTAGTGGGCTTTATTGCGTATAAACCACATAACATACTTATTATCTTATGCATAGCAACAAATTCGAAAGGTTCGTCGGATACGAATAAACACGAAATAACATAAATACGAACATTTTCCGGCTGCCACTTGAATTTTTCACAATTTCATAAATTTTTTAGTGGATCCTTTTTTTTGTGGTTTTGCGATAGCTTGTTATAGTTTTTGCCTGGAATGTTCACTCGGCAAATGCGGGGGGTTGGGGGGGAATGGAGTTGGGTTTTTGGGTTCTAAGTGGACTAGGACGTGTTTTTTGGGAACTCTTCAGGGGTTAGTGGGACTTGTGGCTATGGATGAGGAGGGGCACTGCACTGGATACTGTATCTTAGTGTTTCAGTGCCGCCATCTGCTCGCGCTCGCGCTTCTGCTCCTCGCGCTCCTCCTCCTCGGCCAACTCCATCTCGTGTTCCAGCATTCGGATCTGCTCTGTCAGCTCCTTGGACAGCTTCTTTGTGTGCATGGACTTGATCTGCGCCTTAATTTCCTTGGTCATGTGGTTAATGCGAAAACCTCGGTGGTCGAACTGAGCTCCACCTTGTGCCTTATGCTGCTCCTCCACGTACTTGAGGGCGCGAGCGATGGCCTCGGGAATTGGGGGCGGAGTGGGGATGTGCTCGCCCTCGGGCATAAAGCCGCCGTCGTTGGAGTGGTAGTTCACGCGGTATAGCTTGCCGTCGTCGCCAGTGTACTCATACAAGCCCTTTGCGTGGGTTCCACCATTGTGGTGGAGCTTGGCCTGTTCCTCGCCATAGATGCCGTTCTCAGTCAGGAAACTAGTCGTGGAACAAATAAATAAATAATAGATCGGGAACTAAGAGAAAAAAATTATATTTACACTTACGCATGATCGTATTTGTCCTTCTTCCGAATCTCCTCCTGGTGCAGGATCTTGTGGCGACCCTCATCGTCGTAATTGAACAGGATACTCCTGGGCGTAGTGGTGGTCGTGGTGGTGGTGGTCGTCGTCCTCTTGGTGGTTGTAGTTGGTTTCTTCGTGGTCGTGGACTGCGATGGTTGGTGTGGGTGTTTTTGTATTCATATTCGTTTTCTTTTGGTTGTGAGTTGCCAGGTGTATGCGTGTAGTTGGCATGCATGTGTGGTGGCAGGGTTGCGGTGTTTTTGGAGGGAAAAGGTTGGGGGTCATGCAGGATATCACTTTTGCTTGGGTGGGTTATGAAAGCATGGGTTTTGGAATTTAAATTTTGGGAAAATGTGGTTCTCTGTGGTGGCCGGATATCGGAAATCGTGGAGGGATCGTGGGATATCTTAGTACTGGGTGCTCGGTTGGAGATGGTTTTGCGGTTCATGATCGGGGAAGCCGTACTCCAAGCGGATTTCTGGTACATTAAACTCAGCGTTACTTACTGTGTACAGGTCGTGGCTGTAAGTTAATTAGGATTGGTTAATATACATAAGTATCATCTTGGCTAGTTGCCAAGTCAGACTCACTTGTAGGGCCTGGCATCGTGGACATAGGGAATATTGAGGCCAGCATACGGTCCATAACCACCATCATAGGGATATGGTATGTGATGGTAAATTCCCAGTTCGCGATGATCGCTTACATGCTGGTAGGGCTGGGGCATGTGGTGATAGCGACCTTGAGGATTAAAATAAAACTTTAGTTAGAGGGTTAATAAAATAACAAGACTTGTTTGAGTGTCTTTGGTGAGTGATCTGAGGTTGAAACTATTCAAATTTTACATATCTACCAGTAGATATTTACAGAATTAATTAGTTTCTTTATATTTTGTGTACAAACTTGCAGTTGTTTGAGAGTTCATTTTAGATTTTTGAATTTCGGGTTTACCCAAAGTAAGCCAAAGTTCCATCTGCTTTTTGTGTGAAATGAGATGACTGTTTTGTGCAAAATGGGCGTTGTGTGCTTCAATGTTTTACCTAAACCATCCTGTGCACCACTCCGGCCTATAAGAGATTGAGTGTTTAATACAATGGTGCTAAAATAAGAAAGGTTCTTGTTTTTTGTTAGTGACTGAAGCTCAGCTCAAGGCAGATTAAAACGTATACTAAATACTGCATTTCTATTTACATTTTCGCTAATTAATTTGGCAGCCTTGAGCTTGAACTTTGCGGAGAGTCAGAAGATTATTGGAAAAAGTGTGTTATCGATTATCATCGAGTATTCACAATATTATATATACAATGGGATTATTGGTTATATATAGTCTATACTATATAGTTAGTATCTGGGCAAGTCGTGGCTTGCTTTTCAGTTTCGATTTCAGTTAGTAGGCGTCAGCTTCATCGGCATGCAGTCAGTGGGCGTGGCAGGATTATTTTTGACTCGATTTCTCAAAAATACCTTCGTTCTGGGAACTGGCATGGTAACGTCCATCGTCTTGGGCGCGATAACGGCCGTCGTTAGAATTATGTGGTGAAACCGTATACTTGCCATTGTCATCGGGGACGGGACTGGTGTGGCAGACAGCAAAGAGGGCCTGCGAAAGGGGATTTTTTAGCCATTAAATCTAATCAATTTGGATAATTTTTTTTTAAGAACTAAGAGGGAGGGTTAAACCGGCAGTTGAATTGACTTTTGGCCACACATCATGCAGAATTCACTTGCGGATTTTGAAGATGATGTCTGACTTTCCCAAAAATAATATTTCAGACTTTTTCAAAGACTTGATATTTGAATTATTTGATATTTGGATTCACACTTGTAAGGATAATCCATTCACTACTCACCACCACCAAGGAGAAGCACAGGATGGACTTGGTGAACATGTTTGTTGATTTGAATTCCTGTATCCTATTTGGGAAGTAATGTCCTGTGAACTGATGTGACTGTATAATCCTGCTCTGAGGGCGATTGCAACAGGAATGTTTGGTTACCGTTCAAGTACACCAGATTTATATAGAAATATGCCAGGTTCGCAGTCGCAGTCACAAAACTCAGATCTGAATCTCAGATCGCGGATCGCGTTTCTCTCGACGCATTTCGACGCTCCTAAAAATTCTCCGAGAGATTCGTCGGTTTACTTCGGTTCATCTCCACGAAAAAAAAAAAAAAATTAAAGCTAAAAACAATTAAATCTTTTGTGGAGAGGAGCTCTGAGAAGCTGCTCCCTTTCGTTTTTTAGGCAGACGATTAGCCGGCTCAGTTCTTCTCAGACTTGGCTCCCAAAAACAATAATTTATATAAGCATCAGTGGCGCAAATACTTGTAATTACATATATAATCAATTAACCAATTTAACTTATTGTGTTCTGGACCAGAAACAAAAAAGGTTCATCGATCAAAAATTCCTTTTAACTATGTTACAATGATTTTGGCCTTTTGATGACTCATCATTCTGTATATTGTTTACACAGATTTGTGCAAAGAAATTCCCATGTTTTTATGGAGCATTGTCATTCGAAATTCTACCGAACAAGTCGACCGAATCAGTTTTTGGATCCATTTTTATGAAGCTGATAATTGAAGGTGAGGTTTGGGTCAATGAAGACGTCACTTGTTTATTAATTAAACAAAATGTTTATTAGTCTAGCAGGGAAGAAACGTTTTTGTTTTAATTCAAGAAGGTGACTAAAAGGAATTTTACCATGTTGATTCCTATTTTTAGGCTTTTATTTACATAGGTTTTTATTTCTTTAATGCCCGGCAATGGAAACCATTAATACCATACTTCCGATAACTCCGCCCATTAACTTCACAGCTTAAATCCGAAGCTAACAAGTTGTGGCAACCGATGAAAACGTTGAGATACATATCCCAACTACCTGAAGGCACTCGGAAGCGCCATAAAATTCCCGTAATGAAATCATAAATAACCCACCAGCGGAAATATGGCAAAAAAAATATACAAATAATAAAAATAAGAAACGGTTCAGACAATGCGCACGACTGTCGCAACGCGAAATGCATTAATATTGAAGCGAAGCATGGAGATCGACATGGAGATGGCGCTGAGGATGAGGAACAGGGTATGGGGTAAATGAGGTTCGGGGTTTGGGATTTTCAGTTCGGGGTTCACAGCATATATCTTGGGTATCTGTATATGTATAACCGGAATCGGAAAAAAGAAAAAGGTTAAAAAAATGAATTTAATCGTTTGTAGAAAATGTTGACACCGAGGAGCTGACAGTGACAGCTTGGGGATCGGCTTGGAATGTGTCCTTAACGGTTTCGTATCAAAAGATTAAAGCCAAGATTATAGTTACCTCATAGAAAGAAAAGATTAATCTGCAAACGTTCAAGTTTAGTCTGACCTCTTATATGGAAACCAAGCCATGAAGTTGGAAATCAAAATGTTTATTCTATTTGAAAGATTATGGCTTTTTCTATTATTTAAAATTGATGAATAAATGTATATATATTGTTCATAGCATTAAAGTAAGAAACAAACTTTTGAGTAAAGAAAAGAATAATCAAAAGAATAATCAAAAAAAGAATAAAAAAGAAGAATAATATCTAAGATTCTTTGGTTTACAAAATAGGTAAATAAAAAAAAAAAATTGTTTATTATTATGCCTTTATTTAAAATTTGATAACTTATTTAATAATTTTACAAGCACAAATATAGAAATAATATCATCAAATTATAAAACGTATAAATGAATATTCATACCCGGTACTCAAAGAGTTCAAGGAATACTTATCCCTTTGCATAAGTTTTAAATAAATTACTTCTATTTAAGATAAAAATTTAAGTATTGAAGGTATAATATGTATAATATTAAAAACAAGAAAGGAAAGCTAACTTCGGGCGGAGCCGAAGTTAATATACCCTTGCAGGTAAAACCGGATATATATCGCAAACATCGTATATAGTTGGCCGATCCTTATGAGAATATGATAATATAACTCAAGTTATTATTATATAGAATCTAAAAAAAACCCCAAATTTCTATTTCCAAAATACCAGAGTTGGTATTTCTACCAAAAACCATTTCCGATCGTTCAATTATATGGCAGCTATAAGATAAGCCGGTCGTTATAAAATTTGGTAGGTCGGATTAACTGACCAAAAATATAATCTGTACCAAGTTCCAGCTTTCTATATTCAAAAACACAAAAGTTGGGTCAATTCCGATCGGTCAGTTGTATGGCAGCTATAGGATATAGTCGGCCGATCCTTATGAAATTTGGTAGGTCTGATTATCTGACCAAAAGTAGTATTTGTACGAAGTTTAAGATTTCTATCTTCAAAAACACGAAAGTTGGGTTATTTCCGATCGTTCAGTTATATGGCAGCTATGGGATATAGTCGGCCGATCCTTATGAAATTTGGCATGTCGTATTATTTTGCCAAAAGTAACTCTCATGTCAAATTTGAACTCTCTAACTTTAAAAACACCAAAGTTATACCATTTCCGATCAATCAGTTATATGGCAGCTATAGGATATAGTCGGCCGATCCCGGCCGTTCCGACTTATATACTGCGTGCAAAGGAAAGAAGGGTGTGTGCAAAGTTTCAAGACGATAGCTTTAAAACTGGGAGACTAGTTCGCGTAGAAACAGACAGACAGACAGACAGACGGACAGACGGACCGACGGACATGCTCATATCAACTCAGGAGGTGATCCTGATCAAGAATATATATACTTTATAGGGTCGGAGATGTCTCCTTCACTGCGTTGCACACTTTTGGACAAAATTATAATACCCTCTGCAAGGGTATAAAAATATTAATCCTAGATTTAATTTAAGGTATGGAACATAACTAAATATTTAATTGATTTCTTTACTGAATCTATAAAATAAGTCTTCTTTTCAGTGCCTGAGAATACGAGGAAAGATTTTCAGAGTAAATGGTTAAGCTTCTTCTGCCGATTAATAATAGTCTCCGCATTAACTAAGATTAACGCGAAGAATGCCGGGATTCCAACATGGAGTATTCAGGCAGAATGCTGAGCTGTTGGATACTGGCGCGTACCGTGTGTCGATACCACGTCACAGTCACTGCACTCCAAAGGTCGTACGCTGAACCCAGATCTGGGTAACCGAGACGAGATCACCGGAGGTAAGAGAATGAGGAGGAAGATCACCCGGCATGGCAGATTGGTGTGTGAATCATGGCGCGTGCTGTTATTGTTGTGCTATATTGCGAACGGCTTTTCGATTTTTTCGGTTTTTTCGCCACGATATCTATATAGGAGCATTCATAAAAGTCACAAATACTTAATAAATATTTAAATGCAATGACTTTTTAATCAATTACAAGTTCGATTTGTGATGATCAGACCGTTGGCACTTGATTTGCATGCTATTCAAATCAGATATCAGATCTTGACACCGCAGCAGTGCTGCTGGTGTTATTTTATTATTCCAGTGCAAAGTATATGCCACATTTTTATATATATTCCCCAGGGACTTGACCTTACCTTCCCAGGTAACCAAATCTTGCATTTCAAAAACACAACATTTCGACTAGATATTAATCTTTTAAGGCATATCCAATGTCAAAACGAGTTTGTTTAGGTTTTAAATGTTATTTATTATGTTATTCTCGCTTTATTGACAAGGCTTCAACACTGTAAAATTGTCGCTCTTAAATCGTCTTTAATCTTCTTAAAACTATTTTCGAGGCCTCGACACATTCCCCGGAAGTACGAGTATCTCAATAAGCACACCCCTAAAAGTGTCACACAACGACTAGACCGGAAGAAGTAACTTTCCCAGGAACATCAATATCAACAGTACTGGCAGTCCAAGATCGAGTCTCAGATTAAGAGATGAATTGCAAAGTGATTCCCGACAGTAGCAGTGCTGCACGTTGTCCTTGGTCATGCAGCCTTCTTGGTAGGCATCGTTATCCACAGTGTATCCTACATCCCAACGTGACTTCTTGTTCTTTTCCACTAGATTGTGTACCATCTTCACCTGCTGAGCACAACCGCGCACGGTCTTGGTCCAGCTGCGGCCAGCCAGCATGACGTGGGTGTGGGTGGTAAAGAAGCACATGGTCGAGTTGTGACACTCAAAAACATTCCCTAGCGGATTCCGAGCTGTTCCGCATGTTTTGTCCGTCTCGTTGCACTTGTAGCATCTCAGAACTCCGTCGCAGGCAACTGGTCCTGCTCCCAATAGGATCAGAAGGGTGACCAGGGCGATCCAAGCCGGAGAGAGCGAAGTCCCACAGCCGCTGCCCATGGTATCCGGGCACAGACTGTGGGTTCCAGGCCCGCTTTCGAAGTTTCGGATTATGACAGCGATAAATGACTAGTCCGCCTATGATTCGTACTTATATGTATGTGTTTAAATTTATGTGATTAAGTCGCGGAGCACCCTTCTGCTGGCGATACCGACGGCCACAAGTCCCCAACATTACATATCTCCAGCGACATTTCTTTCTCTCTTTTATTTATTTTTTTTACGAATCGTTTTTTATCCCTATTATGAGATACTTCGTAAATTAGAGCATTATGCTAGTAGAGCATAGCAATTGAGGCCTTTATCTAGAGGCCGGAGAAGCCCTGATCCTAAGGTCAAACTAAGGAAACATACTAATAAGTTTTATTTACTTTTATTTGCTTATCAAAAGTGAGACATAATGTGAATAATGGTAGGGACCTTTGGTTATCAATTTGTTCTAATTTAAGACTCATAAGTTCAAAACTCATAAGCCCAAAACTGATAACATAATAATATTTTGATTATATATGTTTAAAACAATAATTATCAACTGACTACAAAAATATTATTACGTTATTGATCCGGTATTCCTCTTTCCGTTCCAGAGACCTCTCCGCCCGGCTCCAATGTATGAGTTACGCGATTTTTAACCTCTTAATACTGACAACTCAGATCCGACAATCTTTTAAAATTTGGGTTCCTTAACAAATGAAACCTTTATAGGCAGTGCATTCTGGCATTTGCCATAAATTATTCTCATTTTTGCGTGGGCATCGCGCACATTCGGCTGTCAGTTTCTCTTTTAATACAAATTTTAACTTTTTTGACAAATACTAAGCTGAAGTCTCAAGTCTTACCCGGTCACCCGGTTTGTTTAATTATCGTTTACTCTGCTTTTGGATTAATTAGTGCAGTTGTGGGGCATCGCATGTGCCAGAGTTAGACGCTGAGTTTTGCCTTTTGAAAATAAATCAGAGAGGCACGCCTATAAATATTGGTCATCTCTGAAGCCAGTTTAGCCACCGAATGCCCCCAAATAGATGGATCGATTTTGGTAGCACAATAACGCATTCACATTTTAATCGCAGCCATTAATTGGCCGGTATTTTTTTTACCCAACAAATTAATTGGCAAAACGCCATAGGGCCGTAAACCCTGGGCCGGGCCTAAACCAAAAATTATAACAAAGCCGACTGCCAAATGACAAACTGCACTTGGAGCAGAGAGCAAAACAATGAAACAAATTACCAGTCACAATGAGTTGTAATTAGATTGAAGTCATCGCTGAATGTGTGGGGTATCTGGTATCTTGAATGCCGAGATCCAAATCCCGAACCTTGTACATGACACCTGGGATCCAAAATCCGAGTTCAAAGCTCCCCTCAACATCATCGGATCAATTCTGTAGATCCTTCTGTTTATTATACCCTTTCAGAAAGTATTATAATTTTGCTCAAAAGTGTGCAACAAAGTGAAGGAGACCCTATAAAGTATATATATTCTTGATCAGGATCCTCTTCTGAGTTGATATAAGCATGTCCGTGTGACTATCTGTTTCTTCGCGAACGGGGCTCTCAGTTTTAAAGCTATCGACTTGAAACGTTGCCCACACCCTTTTTTCCTGCGCACACAGTATATAAGTCGGAACGGCCGGTCGACTACCGGATCGGTCGACTATCATATACATTCCTGGCATATAACTGATTGATCGGAAATTCCATAACCTAACCATAACTTTAGTTAGAACATTTTTTTTTTGTGTTTTCTATGGGTTTTGTGCTTAGCAAAATAATATAACATACAAAATTTCGTATGGATCGACCGACTATATCTTATAGCTATCATATAACTGAACGATCGAAAATGAACTAAATTTCGTGGTTTTGATGATAGAAAGTTGAAACTTCCAACATATTGTCAATTATTTGTCAATACTTTTTTTGTCAATTTACCAGACCCATCAAATTTCATAACGATCGGATGACTATATTTTATAGCTGCTTGAACGATCGAAAATGGTATTTGGTGTTTAGTAAAAATACCAACTTTGCTATTTTTGACGTAGAAGCTTGGGACATTTTTTTAAATTTTGTATTCTAATAAATTAGTTTTATTATGATATTCTCATACTGATCGGCCAACTATATCCGACATTTGCGATATATATCCGATTTTAACTGCAAGGGTATATCAACTTCGGCTCCGTCCAAACTTAGCTTTCCTTTCTTGTTTTTTAAGGTGTTAAAAGTAAAATAAAGTAAAGGAGACCTTAAAATAAATTTTATAACATGGAAAAATCACATATAAATAAATTTTCAGTGTGACAAGTGCAAAAAAAGCCAAATGATTTTGGGATGATGAGCTCATCGAAAGGGAATTTCGCATATTATGCGAATTAAAAGCATCAGAGAACAACTCCCTGGTTGGAAGATGACCGCAGAATAATCGATAATACTGCAGGCGCTGGTTTTCTGGATAAAGGTCTGGTTTTCTTGTTGCCAAGGATGTTTGTTTTAGTAATATGCACTCCAGGCTAAATCGACCGTGTGTGCCTCTTACAAGATTAATTAATTGCATGCAATACACCAAATTACGCACCATATTGTTAGAATCTTATTGCCAGGGTCAGTCTCACTTTATTTATTTGAGATGAATAATTAAAATGCAAAACAAATCATACAAAAACCAGACTCAGACTGTAAGACCTGTGGGCTTATCAACAAGTTGCAATTAAATTAATAGAATGTATAATTTCTCATCGAAGATTCACAGGGTTTCTTCACCTCCATGAATCATAAAGAGTTTTGATCTTCAACTCATCAACAACTCATCACTTCCTGAGCATGATCGAATAATCCAAATATGCGCAAGGTTTGCGGGCAATAGTTCAGATCTTGTTGGCAGAACGGGAGGGGGCGTGCCAGTATTCAATTTCACATTCTAGACATGGTTTCTCAACTCATCGAGACACTGATCGAGTGATTAATGACTCCCAAAGTGAATCCATTGACCGAACCGCCAGCTTGATTGACAGCTATTATTGTTATTAATGCTCATTAAAACAAAACGAGCGTGTTTATTGTTTATGATGCGTTTTAAATTTGATTTAAACGACACTAATTACATTTGATCCTATGGGATTTGCTGAAAAGCACAACAAATTGAAACTCATTCCCCCAATCGATCAATATTCGAGTAAAACTGGATGATCGTATCGGCTTGGAAGATTCATTGAAAGATTAAGCAAGAGGTGAGTGATTTGAACCTCTGTCTCCCAGGAAGAAGCGATAATATTTTACCTACATATTTCATATTTATTTAATGCCTAATTAATTTTATTATATTTCTTTAATTTTTTTGCCCCCAATTTCCATGCATAGATGAAAGGTTAAAGGTCACATGCGCCAATGCAAACGAGTTGCCAACTAAGTTGTCTTTAAATGGCTTGTTAGTATGCAAAGAATTTTTACCCGATATCGAAACACTTGCCACCGAATCAGCTCGGTTCCCGCCCATATTTAAGCCAATTAAACGACGTTGACTTGGCCATAAAGCTTGTGAGTTATTGCCGTGATGAGACCGGCTAACACTAAAATGGCCAGGGGTCGCCTAGTCTCAGAATCAGACATAATCTAGAAGCCGACATGGACGCACGCTTACTGCTGACTTTGGTGCTCATAGCTCTAGTCAAGGGTGAGAAGGAGGACCCTCCGCCCACACGGTCCCGACCCGGGAAGTACGTCCCGGAACTACATGGAGGTGCTGGCTGGTATGTGCCAGATAATAGTGGAAAGTATCGTCACGATCCGCGGCCATACGACGGGGGTTATGGAGATCGAGGGGAGCCGTATTCCGCCGACTTGCGTGGTATTTTCCGGAAGGCCGAGGAGCAGCTGGAGGCCCGGGTCCAGGAGGCCAGTGAGCGGCTATTCCTTGGTCCCCGCGACCACCTGCGTTTCATGATCGACTTTAATTTCAACGGTACTGGCTGGCAGATTATCGAGTTCCAGTGGGTACGCGATGGCGATGAATCTCATCAGGATTCCAAGCAAATCAGCTACTTGAATGAAAATAAACTATGGGAGAACGGCCATGGGGATCAGAGCTACGATTACCAGCAACCAGCAGAGGAATGCGAGGAGAGCTGCCAGTCGGGGTACAAGGATCCTGTTCCGGAGCCTTTTTCAGAGCCAGAGCAAGAAAAAACACCCAGCACAAACATCAATTCCGAAAAAGATGTGAGTACTGATGAAATGCTTAAGAAACAGGATCCTTTTAATATGTTTCTTTTTTTCATGCAGCCAATTAAAGTTTACAATACCATTAATGAAGTCCTGGAGTATATTCAGCAACACATTTTGCCCACTCTGACATAAATTTTATTAAAATGGCTTACATATTTGTAAATTCTTGTTTATATTTGGCATACTTTTGGGTTTCTGCGATTTAAAAGCTCTTAGCTCTCAGACCGTATCATACTTTGCAAATGAAAAAATGAATGTCAGACAAATGTATAGACATTTTAAATATGTTAATAAAATACGAAAAAATAAATTGAAAGATAAATACAATGTATCAAATTAACCATCTGTATTCGTGTTACATCGAGCTCCTATTTATGAGAGCATTGCGAGATTCCATGACAAATAAGCAAATATTTTTGAAAGAAAGTTATTGCAATAATAATTATATAAATATTGAAAGGAAATCTTTTTAGTCCTCTTAACACCCCCAAAAGTAGGTTTTCATTTAATCCCGAAAGGAATTAAAATAATTTCAGACATATAAATGGCACAAAAGTTTATTATCTTTACAGTTTAACATTTATTTCTTAGCATTCTTGGCATTGGCCTCCAGGAAAGCCAGCAACTTGGCCACGTAGGGCGGTGGGGGCGGTGCCGTTGGCAAGTGGGCGGCACTGGGCACAAAGCCATTGTCGTCGGCGACGTAGTCCACCCGGTAGAGAATGCCATCATCACCCGTATACTCGTAGAAGCCTTTAGAGCGGAGTCCATCCTCCTCGGTTAGTTTCTCGATGCGTCCACTTTCCTCCGCCAGGATGCCATTCTCAGTTTCCCAACTGATTGGGGTAGAAAGCTATATAGTTGAGGATTTGTGCTAAGCATATAAAGTACTCACAGATAATGATAGCCATCCTGATCCACGTCGTCCTCCTGCCGAATAATGGCCCATCCATTGCCACCTTCTCCAGTGCCACGGCCTTTCGGCAAGTTGGCGGTGGGATCTGGCACCGCCGTTGGGACAGGTGTGGTGGGTCTCGGTGACGGTCTAGCTGTGGTTCTTGGTGGGGCTACTGCGGCACCACCTCCTTCAGCTCCACCTCCACCTCCACCTGCTCCACCTCCTCCTCCCGATCCGGAACCACGGTTCTTGTCACCCACATACCGACCACTGTCGCCGGTGTAGTCCCCGCCCGGGCGGTTGTCGTGTTGGTATTTGTTGTCCACATGGACATAGCGACCGTCATTGCTGCCGGAGTAGCGGCCATCGCCTCCGCCTCGATACCGTCCATCGTTGCCACCAACATACCTTCCATCGTTGCCACCGCGATAGCGTCCGTCTCCGGCACTGGCCCGAGTGGGCGGAGGACGGTATCGCCCATCGCCCTGGGCCAGAACCATCGACATTGAGACAATGACCAAAGGTATCTGAAAGAGTCAGAGGTTGTCATAGCGTATTACAATGTTAAGTCAAATCTACAAAACTCACGGTTGCACGCAGCCACATCGTTGAAGACGAGCAATGAAAAAATCTAGCCACCAGATCCCAGCTTTATATCTTTTGGATTCACCTAATGGGTGAACCGCCACCTCTCCGCCCACTCAATGCTAGGTACACCAAGTGGTTCATTGAATGAAATTCTAATTGCCACTGATCCGACCGGTGGTAACTTGAACAATTAAGCGTCTTGCTTTACGACACGATTAATTCATAATTTGTGAGAAAAGCAGCTCTCCGATTCCCTCGATTCGCGGGTGAGTCGGCAGGAGAGTCTTAATGGAGATGAATCGCCTAAATCGCTGGGGCAGCTTTGACATTTCTTGGCGGTACCTTGAATACATACCACTTTAGACCACCGAAGATCATTTGCTGACAACTGCCCAAAAATAGGCAATCTTTAGACATCCAACTCATTTTAATCGTTTAAAGCATGAAAAAACCATCTAAAGTTGTTATCACCATTTTTATAAAAAAAACAAGAAAGGAAAGCTAACTTCGGGCGGAGCCGAAGTTAATATACCCTTGCAGGTAAAACCGGATATATATCGCAAACATCGTATATAGTTGGCCGATCCTTATGAGAATATGATAATATAACTCAAGTTATTATTATATAGAATCTAAAAAAAACCCCAAATTTCTATTTCCAAAATACCAGAGTTGGTATTTCTACCAAAAACCATTTCCGATCGTTCAATTATATGGCAGCTATAAGATAAGCCGGTCGTTATAAAATTTGGTAGGTCGGATTAACTGACCAAAAATATAATCTGTACCAAGTTCCAGCTTTCTATATTCAAAAACACAAAAGTTGGGTCAATTCCGATCGGTCAGTTGTATGGCAGCTATAGGATATAGTCGGCCGATCCTTATGAAATTTGGTAGGTCTGATTATCTGACCAAAAGTAGTATTTGTACGAAGTTTAAGATTTCTATCTTCAAAAACACGAAAGTTGGGTTATTTCCGATCGTTCAGTTATATGGCAGCTATGGGATATAGTCGGCCGATCCTTATGAAATTTGGCATGTCGTATTATTTTGCCAAAAGTAACTCTCATGTCAAATTTGAACTCTCTAACTTTAAAAACACCAAAGTTATACCATTTCCGATCAATCAGTTATATGGCAGCTATAGGATATAGTCGGCCGATCCCGGCCGTTCCGACTTATATACTGCGTGCAAAGGAAAGAAGGGTGTGTGCAAAGTTTCAAGACGATAGCTTTAAAACTGGGAGACTAGTTCGCGTAGAAACAGACAGACAGACGGACAGACGGACCGACGGACAGACGGACAGACGGACATGCTCATATCAACTCAGGAGGTGATCCTGATCAAGAATATATATACTTTATAGGGTCGGAGATGTCTCCTTCACTGCGTTGCACACTTTTGGACAAAATTATAATACCCTCTGCAAGGGTATAAAAATCATATTAGAAAAGTCAAATTTGGAACTGCAAAATTAGATTACTTTTGTAATGAGAAATCTTTTTGTGAAATTTTGTACTTTACTTTCGAATGAAGCTGTGTGGAAATAATACTGCTATTCAGAGGATGAACAAAGTGACGACTAATTGGAAAGAGCTACAGGAACGAGAAACGAGATGGCATCCATAATTTTAATCAAGATCCGAAGAACTTTTTGGATTTGGATCACTTACGGAGTTGGATCAAAGTCGCACGTCTCAGCTAAAAAGAGTTTATGGATCCGTTGATTAAGTGGTGCCCCATGAACTCCGGCCCCACCCTTAGTTCCAATTCGCAATCGGATGATGACGAGGAAATAGCTTCAAAAATGTCCATCATATGTTCCGGAATGCAGAAAACCAAGCTTTCACCTTTCGGAATTGTCAAACAAAAAACGGTAAGAGTGGGAAATAATTTTGTTTCCGGATTAATCTACGATCCAAAAATGAAGAAACTTTAATTTTTGAAGAAAAAAATTCAAACGCCGAAGAAAAATTCTAAAGAATATTACTCCTGTTACTCAAAGAAGAAAAGAACGTGGAGGAACTTCGAGAAAAAGTTGAATTTGCTTAAAATTTAAATGGCGTGAGTTAAATTAAATGTTTTAATTGTAGAAGCACATATTTTTATTATTTTATTAAAGTTATATTTATCTTATATTTTAATTTTTTTCACTTTCACTTTTTAATTTTCATCGCATTTAATTTAGAACGTTTTGTTGCTGAATTTTTCAATGGTACGAGTCAACTTTTTAAATTGTTACATTTTTTTGATTTTTGGTACAAAGTGGGAGGAAGAAGTGCAAGAAAGTACACCAACGAAGTCTGATGCAAATTTTGAAACCAACTTGAACTGCGTGGGCATTGTAGGAGTCTCCATGCAAAATGCTATAGTTCTATCGCTTATACTAATAGTCTATGAGATCCACGCGTTCCTAGGGACGGACAGACGGACGTGGCTATATCAACTCGGGTCTTGACGCTGATCAATTATATATATACTTCATAGTCGGAGATGATTCCTTCTCTATGTTACATACATTCACACGACTACAATACACCCTTGTACTCTACGAGTACCGGGTATAAAAATTAAAGAGCTAACTAATCGTTTGTTGTTGTATGGCCAGTTTTATTGTTGATTCGCAAATGTTTTTTAAATGAATGGATTGAGTGGTAATATAAATATCTTGATTCAGTTTTACTAGCCCCGCCGGTTGTTGAACCCTCCGCCACTCGGCTGCTCTTGGGACGGAGGAGGCGCGGTAGCCAGGTAGGCGAGGGCCTTTTGGATCGCAGGCGGTATGGGAGGCGGCGTGGGCAGGTGATCACCCTGCGGCTGAAAGCCATTCTCGTCCGCAAGATAGGTTATCCGGATGGGTATGCCCTCGGGCGATGTGTACGAGAAGAAGCCCTGTGCGACCTTTATGCGCAAAAAAAGTTTCAGAAGTTAATAAAAAATTAGTATCCAGCCAAATGCCAAACCTGGCCGGCGTTGTCAGTGCCCGGGTTTTTGAGATAGCCCTCCTCCTCGGCGTTGATCCCGTTGCCAGTCTCGTAGGAGTACTTGTAAGAGCCATCGAAGTTAACCTCCTGCTCCTGCCTGATGATGGGAATTTGCTCTCCTTGGGGCTTGGCTTGGACCAAGCTGATCAGTAGTATTACTGCTATGGAAAGTGCCTTCAAGAAAATTGATTAGTTATTAAATGAAAATAGATAGTAAAATTGGAACTCACTGTGAATTGCATAGTTATGCTTTCGAGTTTATCCTTGTATTCTTTCTGCGCTTCTGCACTGAACTCCACGCGATCTTTTACTGTAGCCAGCAAAGGAAATTGTTTGCATATTTATACAAAAATCCATTACGATCTGAACTTTACAGTTGCCGAGATGCCAGTTAAAAAACGCCAGCCAAACTCACCAACACTCAGAGGCAACACTCACAGACTCAAGTCCAAAGATTTACGAGTCTCGAGTGTCTTGCATTGTGAAGACCCACAAATCGGAAGCCTGCCTGGCCAGTGTATAGTGGAATCTTCCCATGGGGCGTTCACGAACCGAATCCACCCACAAGAGCACGACCTATACGATCTGGGTTTATTGCCTTTGCTAGTGCTTCTGCAGCCGTTTGGCGAATAAGCTGTATACGAGACAACCTCCCGATGCCACAGTGAAGTTTCAAAAGATGAGACACATCTATAGTTCTTAAGAAATAAATAAATATTACTGTATAATAAATAATACATTACTATATTACAAAAGTATACCTCCAAATTCAAACATGTCGGCAACATTTTTCATTTTTTGTACATGAGACATTTTTTCAGTTATTTTTCCAGTCTTTTTTTATATTTCTCATACATATATTTATCTTTAAAAGGAAGTTCTATTGGGACAATGACCATCGTGCAGCACCAGTATTTAGTGGGGCGGGGGGGATCAGTTGGAGTCGTGTTGTACATGGCCAGCTTGTGGCATTCATAACTCTTCCCCCACAACCTGTTCATTCGCATTCATTCGTACATCAATTTGTCAGCTGGGCCCCATCAGACATTTAACTTGAATGCCACTTGGGGGCCGCGTTTCTATCATCATTACTGGTGATTATGAGTACCACCTGACCATGATCAGGCCTAGCTGACTGACTGATTGACTTACTGGCTGACTCCCAAATGTTGCAAGTGCCGCGTGACCTTTGTGGCAGGCGGGCAGATGTTTGCCCACCGAACAGGTCCGGCCAAACAAAAAAAGGCGGTAATGAAACAGTTGAGCAAATGTCAATTACCTCGTGGTAGATGGGGATAGAGATACCAGAACCAGAGCCCGAAAGCTACGTGAGATACTTAAAATCGATATGAGGGCGTTATGGAGGGAATAAATATTCAAGAGACGGTCGACAGGTTGTTGTTTGTTTTTAGTTTTGGTATTTTTTTATTTTTTGGCTAATCGAGTGAGTTTTGTTTGGATTGGTTCCATGTGGCGGCATCTCTGGTCCAGGCGAGGGCTCTATCCGGTCTTCTTATTGAAGAGCAGAGACAGGAGCTGCTGCTTGAAGGGTTTCGTGGTGGTGGTCTCGGATGTGCTTGTGTATGTTGGCGTTGATGGAGAGGTTGTGTAGGTATAGGTGGTGGTCGAGGGCGACGAGGGCGTAGTTGGGGTGACGAACGGAGACGGTGGCGAGGTACCAGTGGGGGAAGCAGCAGAAGCGATGGCCAGAACAGCGACAAAGACAAGGATTCCAAAGAACTTCATGTTGATGGTTTTTGGTTTTTTTCTGGTAGCTGTGACTTGACAGATAAGCTGCTGAACTCTGAGTGTCTTCTGGTGGTCCAGGGAGCACAATTTATACGGAAACGCATTCATACAAAAATGGGGGCCAGGTGGCCTCCAGTTCTTTCAATGTTTGCACACGTGTTTCCATCTTCCCCGCCTTCGGGGTGTCTTGGCGGGTCTTTTTGTTTGTCCCAATGGTGCATTTTGAAATGCAGCTTCCAATATTTAAACAAATGCCCCTACCACCTTCTCTCACTCAACCTTTTGTGTGTATCAATGACTGTTGGCGGTATCTTAGTGCGGTTAATGCAATTAAATTAGAACATTCCTAAAATATGTATCGCTCGTAGCTACTGGGCCACTCCATGGCAAAAGCATAGTTTGGAAGCGTAGCCAGGAACTGTTGGCTCCGCTCGTCCCTCTTTGCCGTGGGACTGAAGTAATGTCCCGAAACGCCCAACTGGAAAACGGGTTCATCAAAATTTCCGTCGTACTTCTGCAAGTTGGGGAAGAGTTTAGTCAAGTAATCTCATAAATCTCATCTTAAACCTACCGAGAACTCTACGAAGAATTGGGTGGGTGTGCTGTCTATGCCGTAGGTGAGCAGGACATTCAGCGGAGGCCTGTATGTGGCAGGGTTCTCCAACATTCCCGCGGCGAAGGTCCATCGCAGTATCTTCACGCCGTCCAGCGGCTGGAAGAAGAGGCCCATGTTGGGGGGCCCGCTAAGAAGGAACTCGTACCGCACCTGATAGCCACCGGAGAGCACCGTCTTGTTAAGGAGCTCCAGGGTCGTGGGAAAGGGCAGCTCCACTAGCTCCTCGCGTGGCAGCCACAGGGCGTGCTGGCGGGCCGTGCAGTATCGGTAGCAGGGCAGACCGCACATCAGCTCCGAGTCGTCACAGTCCTCACCCAGACGCACCAGTCCGGTGAGATTCATGGTTTGCCGGAGCGGTGTCTCCTTGTTGCGGTCCGATAAGTGAAAGTAGTAGCCAGAGTCCTCAAGGCTCATAGATCCATCATACTCAAAGAATCGCCGATGTACTTGCTGTTTAAAAAATATTTAACAAATAATTGGTTTTTTGGATTACCAAAGGAACTCACCATAAAGTCTGCTCGCATTACATTGGTCTTGGCCCTATAGGGGAAGCCTACATCCGATACGGAGATCATACAGAAAATAAACATAACCAAAGCCAGAACTCCCAACATGCAGTTTGGTCGTCGAAAGATATTGATCAGTGGAGCCTACAGAAGAAGTCATTGAGCACATTTCCCAATAAACTCTTTTAAAGGACATAATTACAGCAAAAGATAAAGCCAGTATCGTGCCTATTGCGGTGAGGGCTGCAATCATCATATCTGGATTGGAGGAAACTCCAAAACGACCCACCATGGGCAGAAGAATTATGATGAACGTGTGGAACAAATAAGCATGGTACAGGAACGGAACTATCTGACTCAAGCCAAGCAACACCGACCAAAGGTAGCCTAAAAATGAAGTCTGTTTAAGAATTCCATAAAAAGAGGTCCAGAATCCTTACCTCTGCAGTGCAACCGGCTTGCCAGGTTAATAATCAGAGCTGCAACGTAGAAAATTAGAGAGATCAGGAATAGATAAGCACTGCGGTAGTTCAGAGCCGTCAAGGAGAGACACATTATGACCAAAAGAACACAGTTGGCATGACCCACAATCTGCAACTGATACGGGTGGGGAATCTTGAGCTGTAAACAAAAATATGTTTAGAGATTTGAAGCCACACTCTTCCAGCTATACCACTCACACTGGGTCTATGGGTCAGATAGAGGGTGACTGGAAGGACAAGCCCGATGACCGAGGGACAAATGTAGAGTCCAATAACTAGCCAACTGTTGCTGAAATATGTCAGCGTCCGATCCCCGGCATCATAGAAAACGCTCATCAGCACTGGGAAGAGCAACGCCAGGACGACTCCTGCCAGAGCCAGCAGAAAGAAGAGACCAAAAGCCCCGGCATAGGTGCCCAAGGTCTGACCGGACACCTTGGACATGCGCCACAGAGAAGCACAGACGAAGAGTATAGCAGCTACGGAAAAGGTGATGTTTAGAGCAACGCCTGTGGACTGCTGGTAATGCACAAAGAAGAGACCAATGAAGTCAAAGAATATGGCGTGTCCTTCGGAATAAGCCTAAAACATTATGAAACATTAAGTCATTCGTATAAATAGTTAATTTCTATTAAGCCCACCTCTGTGTCATACATTTCCACCGATCTGGAAATACTCCTAACCAGGGCCAGCAGGTTATCGCCAGTATGCTGCAGGGAGTCACGTGACACCACAGTGTACCGATCAAATTCCGTGTGATAAACGAATCCATTATAGACCCCAGCCATATCCAGACCTAACCATATATTCATATATATCATCAGGTTTGGGATCCGCGAACTAGTGGGGAATTACTCACCTGGGACTACTCCGAAGTCGCGAAAAATTCTGAAGTCGGTGTCCGAGGGAATAATGCCAGCTTGAAACACCTCCTCCCCCGTAGTCGTGGCAAATGGATGAGGAGCACTGCTTCTGTAATGCTGCAAGCGATAAGACTATAAGATTAGATTGCCAAATAAATTTTTAGGTCCGCCAGACGTATGATATCACGCATATCGGGAGAGTGCTGCTCAAAATAGATGAGTCACCGTGAGATTGACACATTTTTGAGGATTATTAAAAGAATTAAGAGAAATAACTTACTTCCATTAGCCATGGATGATTAGGACCTCCCTGAAAAAGCATTTCCCGACCACCAGCCCCACAGGAATCCATGTTAAGTAGAGCTCTGTATGGATTATAAGTTATAACTATTTGTATATAATAGTCTGGATACTTCTTACTTGCAGTTGGCGGCCCATCGGTGCTGGGTTATAAATCCATGAGATCCCTGCATAGGTTGCTCCTCTGCGCCGTTGAAAAGAAAGACAATGGGATGAAGGAACCCTTCCTCGGAAGTGGCAACCTGACGTAGAACCTCCAGCATTACCACAACCATAGAAGCATCATCTCCGGCACCTTCACAAACCCCATTAATTGGTAAGATATCACTGCGTAGACTTGTATATCACCTACCTGGTGCTCCTGGCTTAGTATCGTAGTGACTGTTCACCAGAAGATAGTTAGTACTATTGGAACTCTTGGTGGTCAGCTTGACGAGAACGTTTTGCACCGCCTGGTAGTGGTTTGTGAAGCCCTTGATCACATACGATCCGGAGACCTTCTGCACCTCCACTTCCATGTCATAAAGATCCTCACGCATCAACAGCCGGATTTGTTCAATCTCATCAAGAAGATATTTCACAACAGTGACCTCATTAGGTATGTCGCCTACCAACCGTGGTCCCATACGGGTTATTTCCAACATTTGGGCCTGGGCCCTCTCGGCCACAAATTTTCCAGGGTTATCCAACTCCTCGGAGATCTTCAGTCCTGTAGGAAGGTTCTGGAATAGCGGGTATATGACGGCGAAGAACAGCCCCACCCAGAACAGTAGGTACGTGGGAGCATAGTACCACGCAAACCGCTTTGTCGGCCTGTGTTCGCCGTCTACTTCAATGATCAGATTCTCAGAGCCCGATTCCGAAGGCAAATCACTCTGGCAAATATGAAAATTATGATTTTGGATAAAATATATTCCAGTATATCCACCTTAACTTTAGGCAGAGCCACCATTTTGCCCCTCTTTTTCTTTGATATCCGAGGATCCCTTCAAAACTGAGCACCTTCGACGACTTTCGACACACGACTGACTGTTTCACATCCTCATCCGCAATTTAAAAATTGTGCTTTGGGTTTATGATGTGATATGGTTGATATCTTCAGCATAGTATAAAGATACTCGATATTTATGGCATTATGGCGCGTGTTATTCACACTTCCCCTATCAACATACGCTCCATCATACCAATCAAAAATTTTTTGGCAATGTCGCCGATAAATTCTCATTCCTAACGATTATTCTGGGCCCTCAAAGTCAGTGTCCACGACGTGATTACCCCAAAAACCGAAATCATAACCGCTGACTTTGGCCCCATATCGTAATCGGTTTTGTAGGCTATAGCGGATTTATTTATTTATGGGTTTGCATCTGGTCGACAGGGCTCAAAGTCACGGCTATAATTCGCACACCCATATACTTGGGGTTTTACCAAAAGGGTGGGGTTTATGACCCCTACCAGATAACCCCAAATCATGATTTCAAAGTCTAAATAGGTGCTCTCTAAAAGATGTTTAGAACACAAGAGCACCCGAAGGTAGTTATTGTCTTTTTATAAGATCAAAAAATGGTAGCTGTCATAGAAAAATACAACTCTGTCGTAATTTATGAAAATCTTATTCGAAATGGCGACATTATGAGGTCTAGAGATTTCACGTGTTTTTATTTCCATTAATCACATGTTGTTTAACTTCTAGACGAATATTTTTATCGTTTAACATCAGAAGGGCTATTTAAATTTAAGATCCATAAATTCGATTTTTGATAAACTTGTAAGCTTGACCAGTATTTAAGGTTTTGCGTTTTAATTTGATGATTTGATTCTAAAAAAGAACTAAGTTAGTAGTTGTATAACAGATTTTTCTTCATGTTAAAGTTTGTTAAAAACAATTCCTTTCCTTTCCTTTCGGAACCCCTAAGAAATATTAATTTCTGAAAAAACATGTATATTATTCATTGTGTATTTATGTGCAAGTCTTTTTAAAACACAAATCTTTGATACGAAGTTGGCCATTCCATGGGATGGGCAAAGTCTGGTAGATCCTCGAGAAATTTCTGGGTAGCTGCATCCCGCTTACTAAGATGACTCATATAGTGTCCAGAAACACCTAACTCAAATGCGGGTTCATTGTAGTTACCATGGTCTTTCTAAAATTTTAATGTTTTCCATTAGTGCCCAGAAGTTAATAAAAAAAAAAATCCCTTAACTACTAACCGTCAGTTCAAAGTTGAAAAGGATGGGAGAACTGTCACTGCCATAGCCAATAAAAATGTGATATGGGGGCTTGTAGACTGATGGGTTGTCCAGCATTTCCTGAAGAAGAGACCACTTCAGCATCTTTACTCCTTTCAGGGGGAGGATGAACAGACTCATTCTTGGCGGCCCGGAAACACTGAATTCGTAGTAAGCCCTCAAATCGGATTCGTTGCCCAGAAGGGTCTTGTTCAAGAGCTCGAGCACGGGAGTTCCGGGTAGATCAACGGGCTCACCTCGCGGCAACCAATGTCCATCTTCAACAGCATCACACCAGCGATGGTTGAAACACGGCACGCCACATTTCATATGAGTCTTGCAGTCCTCATCCAGACGTGTGAATCCTGTAAGATTAATCCTGCCCAGCAGGGGAGACTCAAGGCGTCGGTCTTGTAAGTCAAAGTAGTAGCCGCTGTCCTCCAAGCTAATACTTCCGTCGTATTCATAGAACTTCCGATGAACTTCCTGTAAAAAGAATGCACAACAAATTAGAGCTTATTTAAAAAAATATCTCAGACTACCCACCAGGAAATGTAATCGCATTACATTGGTCTGTGCTCGATAAGGGAAACCCACATCTGACACGGAAATCATGCAGAATACGAACATGACCAGGGCCAGGCCTCCAACCATGCTCTTCTGCCGACGAAAGAGGTTTACCAATGGGGCCTACAATACTATTATTACCTTAGTGGCCTAAGAAGAGAAATACACAAGGTACTTACCACAAAAACGAACCCCAAAATCGTGCCCAGAGCACACTCCAGTGATATCAGCAGGTCGGGATTAGCGGTCATGCCTTTGCGGCTCGTCATGGGGATCGTGATAACCAGAAGAGCGTGAAACAAGTAGGTAAAGTAGAGGTAGGGCAGTACCTGACAAGCCACGAGCACCAGACTCCAAAGGTGGCCTAATGAGATTAGATGTGTCACTATTCACTTAACGTCTAAAAGTTTCTGGAGCTTACCTTTATCGTGCAGGCGACTGGCCAAGTTGATAATCAGAGCTCCTACGTAGAAGAAAACACAAATCATAAGCAGATAGGCGGTGCGAATTCCAGCGGCAGTCAGGAGAATACACAACACCGCCATCAGAACACAGTGGGCATGGCCAACAATCTGCACCCGATAGCTATAGGGTATCTTTTCCTAAACAACATAAGCCCACATAACATCACATTAATAATGCGAAGATGGAATATAGAGCACTTCAGACTCACACTGTGTCGCAAAGACAAGTAGATGGTCGAGGGCAACAGCAGTCCAATCAGCGAAGGACAAATGAAGAGACCTATTACCAGCCAACTATTACTGAAATAAGTCATAGTTCGATTGCCAGCATCATAGAAAACACTCATCAGAAGAGGAAAAGCTAGGGCCAGAAGCACACCCAGAATGGCCAGGAGGAACTGCATTCCAAAGGATTTGGCATAAGTGCCGAGCCGGCGACCTGTAACCTTTGACATGCGCCACAGAGACAAAGCCACGAGAAGAATGGCGCCCAATGAGAAAGAAATATTCAGGGCAACTCCCGTAGCCTTGGTGTAATAGACGAAAAACAGTCCCAGATAGTCAAAGAACACCGAGTGACCCTCGGCGTAGGCCTAAATCAAAAAATTAATTAAATCAAAGTTTAGTATCGACCCGAGAGCCTCCTTTGACTTACCGCCGTATCGTACATTTCCTCGGCATTGGAGAGGCTCCGTACCAGGCCATAAACATTATCGCCAGTGTTCTGAAGTGATCCTCGAGATATCACTTTGAAGCGATCGAACTTGGTGTGATAAACAAAGCCATTGTAGCAACCCGCCAAATCCAAACCTATGTCCCAGAATAAACCAGTTAATTATAAGAAAATAATATTCATCTTATTACCAGGCACTGGCCCAAAGTCCCGAAAAATTCGAAAATCAGTATCGGAAGGAATTAGATCGGCCTGAAAAATTTCCTCCGCCATGGTTGTGGCAAATGGATGTTTGGAACTTTTTTTGTAATGCTGGTTTGTGGAATACAAGCGATTTTTATTAGATATCGGGTTTATGGCGCTGATTAGATAACCAAGTACTTAAAAACCAATTGGTGCGCGAGGCTTTATGATTGCCCATTAAGATAACTATCAAGTGGAGTGCACGATTTTGGCTTACCCGCATTAGCCATGGATGGTTGGGACCCCCCTGGAACAGAATTTCACGTCCGCCAGCACCGGCCGAGTCTAGGTTTATTAGAGCCCTGATTTGATTAGAATTGGAAATTATATCAGAGATTAGGAAATCTATTTCAATACCCACTTGCAGTTGCCTGCCCATCGATGTTTAGATATAAAGCTATGCGAACCGTGGAAGGGCTGTTCCTCGGCTCCGTTAAACAGAAAGACAATGGGATGAAGAAACGTATCCTCGGAAATGGCCATCAAACGCATGGTCTCCAACATGGCCACAATCATCACTTCAGCATCACCAGTTCCTGAAATGAGCCATGGTTTTTAAGCATCCTCTGAGTTGTTAAAAGATTACTCTACTAACCTACGCTACTTGGCTTGGAATCGTAGTGACTGTTCACCAGCAAGTAGGATGAACTGTTTGAGCTCTTACAACTGAGCTTAGCCACCACGTTTTGAATACCCTGGTACATGTTCACCATCTGCCAGTGGAGAAAGGCACCACTAGATCGCTGGACGTCCACCTCTAAGTCATACAAATCACTTTTCATCACTTGGCGGACCTTTTCAATTTCCTTGAGCAGTAGTTCCACCATCAGCACCTCAGTAACATAGTCCCCGGCAATCTTGGGTCCCATTAGATCCAGTTTTAGAAGCAAGCTTTCCGCCCGCTGGGCAATGAAGGTATTGGGAAGATCAGACTCCTCCTCCAACTTGACTCCAGTAGGCAGATGATTGAAAATCGGATAAACTACAGCGAAGAAAAGTCCTACCCAGAAAAGCAAGTAGACTGGGGCATAGTACCAGGCCAGCATCTTTATGGATTTGGTTCTCTCCTTTAAATCCAAATGGCTACCCTCTTCTGGATCGATCTTTTTTGTGGCCAGTTGAACAATGCTTTGGTCGAGTCCATTGTATGCTTCCACAGGCTTGGCTTGGTTTGAGTATTTTTGTTCTTCAGTATTTAGTTCCAAAGTGCTCTTTTCATCCAAATCAAATCTCTTGAATGGTTCTGTATGCTCCAAGTCATTGTCCTCTAGGAAACCCGAATTGTGTTTTTCCATTCTTTAAATGCCTGGCCCAACAAAGCCACGTCCGCGACTGAATGAACCGGAGAAAATCTTATTAAATTTAAACCTTTCTGAGGCTACTTTATCAGATCAGATTTGCTATCTCAGCCACAAAAATACAGGGACACTTTCCAATTGTACAATCCGCTGTATATGTATATCACCTCAAAATTTTTATGATCTTATAATAAGCATAAATAGTTTATAGTCCCTTGAAAGCCAAAGTCTCAGGCAATCTCCATAAAGCCAAGAAATTGATTTATTTTTGGACCAAGGCATCTGGTTATCTTCTCCCTTAGAAACCGAACCATTCTAATCGCTCCAAGACCTACTAAAATTTATTAATATGATCCAATGAAATTTATGATTTATATCGATTTTATGAACCCTAAATAATAAAAATTTTTTTCAACATTCGACAATAACAAAAACGTGAAGCTGATTTTTGGTAAAAATGGTCAGGCAGGTAATGGATAAAAATTTATTGCAATGTTAAGCACCTGCGATACCCGAAAATCTTAGAATATATACCGCTTATATATTGCTGGCCACTCTGTGACATGAACAAAGTCGGGGAACTTCGATACAAAACGCTGCGACTCGGCATCCCGTTCATAATCGTAGGTGATAAATTGTCCAACAACGGCCAGCTCCAGGATGGGAACATTGTAATCCTTATTAGAATTCTAAAGTATACATTTAAATAGTAATTTTTATTGTTAACAAGTTATCTAAGCTACCTCCATTTCGATGTAGAACTCCAAAGGACTTCTGTCTCTCCCACAAGCCAAGTAGACCTGGTAAGGTAAGTCGAAGTTCTCCGGATTGTCTATCATGTTTCGATCAAAGGACCAGTCCTTAATCGTAGCAGAACCCACTGGTTGAATGAATATATTCATGTGCGGAGCTCCATAGAGCTGGAAATGAAGCCGAACTGTTCCATTCACCTCCAAAACAGTTTTTTCCAAGAAGTTCAGGTTGAATTCCCCTGGAATTACGACCTCGGATTCGCGGGGAAGCCACCCATCCCTCTTCCGCCAGCCACACCAGGCAAAGCAGGGAACTCCACACATTACATAGTCATCGCAGAAAGACGACACGGGCACCAGACCCGTGAAATTGAGGACAGAATCCTTTAAAGGGCTCAAGCCACGCCTGTCCTGGTAGTTGAAGTAATAGCCAGAATCTTCGTGACTCACAGAGCCATCATATTCGTAAAAAACCCGTCGCGTGTGCTTTAAAAATAAAGTGTCTCAAATATTTAAAAAATGTTAAGTGGTAAGAACTCACCAAACAACTTATACGCATCACATTGGTCTTTGCACGATAAGGAAATCCAACTTCTGATACAGCAAGCATACAGAAAATGAAAGTAACCACTCCGAGTCCAAGAAGAATTAATTTTGGCCATCGGAACATATTTATAAATTGTGCCTACAGTTCATATTATTCATATCTTAGTTCTGAAATTCTTAAACTACTCTACTTACAGAAAACCCGAGGGCAAAAAGGACACCGCAGCCACACACGAGGGCTATGATGAGATCAGGATTCGAGGCACTACCACTTCGACCAAGAATGGGGATGAATATAACCAAGAGCAAGTAAAAGAGGTAACAAAAATAACAAAACGGAAAGACCTGAAGACACAAAACTATCAGAGTCCAATAGTAGCCTGAAAACAGAGAGTTATTATTAGACATTCTTACAAAAACCCTCGATTTCAAAAACCTTTACCCTTATTATGAAGTTTGCTCAGAAGATTAATCAGTAGAGCTCCACTGTAGAAAATCATTGACATTAAACAGGAGTACTCCGACCGAAAACCCAAGGCGGTCGCAATAAAAACAATTAGGGTCACAACCAATAAATGAGCATGAAGACCCATTTGGATTTGGTAAGCAAAGCTTAGTTTTTTCTAAAATTTAAGTGATATTACTTAAAGAAAACATTAGATATAATTTACTTGCATTTGGTCTTAAGGTATAGTAGAGTGTTTGGGGTATAACCAGACCGATGACTGCCGGGCAGATATAGAGACCAAAAACCAGCCAATTATTCGTAAAATAGGTAAGCGATCGATCTCCAGCATCAAATGCAACAGCCATTATCAGGGGAAACAATATGCATAGAAGAACTCCAATCACATGAAGTACCAGGATAATGGAAAACCAAAGGAATGTTTGCTTGAGTGACACCTCCAGAGACTTCTGGGACATCGTCCAAAGGGACCATCCTACCAGAATCAAACCGAAAACGCCAATAACGCTATTCAATATTATTCCAGCCTCTTCCGTATAGAAAACAAAGAAAAGTCCCAGATAATCAAAAAAGACAGAATGTCCATCATCTTTATAGGTCTAAAAACAAAATCATTATTTAGTTTATCTTATTAAAATTATAAACAAACGCTACTACCTCGATTTCATTTAATTCCGTTGCATTTGAAAAGGCCTGAACCATGGACAGAACATTGTTTCCAGTATTTTGAATGGATCTTCCTGGCACGTTCTTATAACTATCAAAGATAGTGTGGTAAATATAACCATTCTTGGCCTGAGCAATGTCCAGACCTAAGGAATTCATTTTTGTTAGCTTTGACCCTGTTTGATCTGACACTGTTTGAAAATTTCAGGAACTCCTACCAGGAATCTTTCCAAAATCACGAAATATACGAAAATCTGTGTCGGAGGGTAAGATGCCACTTTGAAATATCTCCTCGGCCACGGTAGTGGCAAATGGATGTTTTGCATAAGATCTGTAGTACTGTTAATGTTAAAATATATGTATTATTTAATAGATATATGACATAGATTAGATAAACCTTCATAAGCCAAGAGTGCTTGGGGCCGCTCTGGAATAACAGATCTCGACCACCACTGCCTCCTACCTCCAAGTTAATATAGGCTCTGTAAAAGTTAAGTTTTTAAACAATATGTGGTAACTTAAAATATTTGTAACCAACTTGCAATTGGCTGCCCATTTGTGTTGCGTAATAAAAGCATGGGAGCCCATAAGTCCATTTTCCTCAGCCCCATTAAACAAAAACACAATGGGATATTCGAAAGGGGTCTTAGATAGAGCCATTTGGCGCAACACCTCTAACATTACAACAACCATAGTGCCATCATCACCGGAGCCTTAAAATGTGATAAATTAAAAAAAAATACTGTAGAATTAACAATAAAGAAAAGATTACTTCGGAGAAGTAAGATTAGAGTCGGAGACGTCTACTTCACTGATTTGCAATCTTTTGACCAACATAATTATGCAATCTTTAATAACCACTTACCAGGTGTACTTGGCTTTGAATCAAAATGGCTGTTGAGAAGTAAATAGGAGTCACTCGGAAAACTTTTGGCACTCAGCTTTACCACTACATTTTGTATGCCCTGGTATAAGCTGATCTTGCTCAGAACATAACCGCCCTTTGAACATTGTACGTCCACCTCCAGGTCGTAGAGATCAGTTTTCATTTTTGAACGGATCTTCTCCACTTCGTTCACCAAAAACTCAACAGTTTTCACCTCATTTGCAGTACTTCCGACATATTTAACGCCAATGCGATCGAAATCGAATAGTTGCATCTGGGCACGCTCCCCCACAAATTCTCCAGGCCTCTGCGGTTCCTCAGAAAGAGTAACCTTGTCTGGGAGTCTGTTGAAAAGTGGTATTACAATGGCATGGAACATGGCCAGCCAAAGCAGCAAGAATGATGGGGCATAATACCAGGGCATTCGTTTTCGGTCTTCCTTTTCCCTCTTAAGGGATAAAAACTCAACCAAGGGAACCTCCTATCAAAGGATTTTCATAATAAAACTTTTCACTTTTAATAGAAAACCTCTGTATTCACCTTATTATCCTTCTCTTCCATTTTTATAAATATTGAAGACAATTCCAACCTTTCCGTTGCTACATTAAAAAGAAACTGAATACCTGCTGTCTAGGTCGATAAACTTGGAGCTTTTTTGACCAAATCACAGCCCATAAAGATAAAATCCCAGATTACTTTAAGAAATCTAGGCAGTCGTAAAATATAAAAGCTTTTTTATTGGATCACTTTCGGGAATTAGAAAATATAGCGCATTATATATATATTATGTATTATGTATATATACAGGTATTAGAAAATATAGCGCTTAAATATTGAAGGCCATTCCATGACATGGGTAAAGTCAGGAAAGTCTGATATAAATTTCCGAGCTTCAGAATCCCGTTCAAAATCGTAATTAACAAAATGTCCAACTCCAGCAATTTCCAAGACGGGTCCATCGAAATCTCCATCGGATTTCTATTAAAAAAAAAGAGATAAATAAACTGGTAAGCTGTTAAAAAATCCAGAGCCTACCAAAACGTCAATGTGGAATCTCAATGGGGTATCGTCTGTTCCGTAGGAAAAGTATATCTGGTAAGGAGGCTGAAACTCCTCTGGGTCGTCCAGCATTTCCCTCACAAAGGACCAGTCGGAGACCTCCGCTGAACCCAGCGGTTGAATGAATACATTCATGTGCGGTGGGCCACTCATTTGGAACTCGAACCTGGCAGTTCTGTTGAACTCAAAAATAGTTTTTCCCAAAAATTCAAAGCTTAATTCTCCGGGTAGAATTATCTCCGACTCGCGCGGCAGCCATCCGTCATTTTCCCGCCACCGGCACCAACTGTAGTAGAAGCATGGAATTCCGCACATGACGTACTCATCGCAGTCCGGTTTTACGGCTTTTAGACCAGTTAAGTTCAGCAGAGAGTCCTTAACAGGTTCCAGCCCTCTTCTATCCTGGTAATTGAAGTAGTATCCAGAATCACTATGACTCACAGAGCCGTCAAACTCGTAAAAAATGCGGTTCGTATGCTAGACAGAATCATATTTTTGCACTTCAACATTTCTTTTTGCTTCAAAAACACCAAGTTTCGTACCAAACAATTAACTCTCATCACATTGGTCTTGGCCCGATAGGGGAAACCAACTTCCGAAACGGCAATCATACAAAAGATAAAGGTCATCACTCCCAAACCAAGTAATATTAGTTTCGGCCATCGGAAAATATTTATAAATTGTGCCTGAAAAGTTAAACTTAATAGTCAACCACACAAATAAATTATTTTTAAGGACAACTCACTGCGAATCCTAAAGCAAAAAAGGTGCAACAGCCGCAGGTTAGAGCTATAATTAAATCGGGATTCGTACCAATGCCATTCCTTCCCATAATTGGGAAGAATATCACAAGAAAGGTGTAGAAAGCATAGCAAAAGTAGCAGAAAGGAAAAACCTGAAGAATTGTTACAATGAGGCACCAATAGTATCCTGAATCAAGAAAGAAAAGCTAGTGTTGATAAGCCCTATAATTTTATATTATTAGATTTATGTTGGATCGGATATAATCGTAAATATAAAGTATAGTTGACCGACCCTTATGACTCTTATTATTTTATTAAAAACACAAACTTCAGGCAGAGCCGAAATGTATATACCTGATAGATAAGTTAAAATCGTATGGATATTGCAAATATAAGAAGAAAATAATAATAATTTTGTATTAAACTATATGAATTAGTCATCACTTACCGCGATCATGGAGAGTGCTAAGCAGGTTAAGTAAAAGAGCACCCCCATAGAATATCATCGATATTAGGCATAAGTACTGAGAACGTAGGCCCGCGGCAGTCAAAATTATGGCCAGCAGAGCCATAACCACCAAGTGAGCATGCAAGGCCAATTGCAGGAGGTAAGCATGACACAGTTGTTCCTAAAGATAAATAATATTTTTAAAGTTTATACTGATTAACTTAAAACTAAATTCCGTACATTGGGCCGCAGGGTGAAGTAAAGAGTCACGGGAAGAACCAGGCCAATAACTGCCGGACATACGTAGAGTCCGAGAACCAACCAATTGCTGGTAAAATAAGTCAGGGAACGATTTCCGGCATCGAACAGGACAGCCATTAGAAGGGGCAAGCAGATGCAGAGAAGAAATCCTACCACATGGAGGGCGAGGATGATGGAAAACCAAATAGATACACGTTTTAGGGAAGGCTTCTCCAACTTTTTAGACATTTTCCAAATGGAAAAGCCAACAATCACCAGACTAATGACAGCCATCACACAATTTAATACGATTCCCATGGTTTCCGTGTAGTAGACAAAGAACAGTCCCAGAAAATCGAAGAACACAGCATGGCTGCCATCACTCTATACGAAAAAGAATACTAACAGATCATACTTTAAAAAAAATTACTTGCTCACCTCTTTTTCGTTTAATTCACTTGCATTTGAGAAAGCCCGCACTAATGCCAGGACATTGTTTCCACTATTTTGCACAGATCGTCCTGGCACTGCTTCGTAGGTGTCGAACACGGTGTGATAAACATACCCATTGCTTATCTGGGCAATGTCCACTCCTATAAAATACAACATTTTTATCGGCCATCATCGTTTATGACTCTTTACTGACCGGCTATATTTCCAAAGTCCCGAAAAATTCGAAAGTCTGAGTCAGATGGTAGAATTCCACTCTGAAAAATCTCCTCTGCCATTGTGGTGGCGAAGGGATGTTTCGCGTGCTTTCTGTAGTACTAAAAACCATGTTCTATTAGTTATTTTTATAACGTTCTTAAGACCATAAATAAATTTAAACTAACCTTCATGAGCCAAGGATTATTGGGCCCGCTCTGGAACAGAATATCACGTCCCCCGCTGCCGGCCACCTCTAGATTGATAAAGGCCCTTGCTCATAAAAATCATAACGATAAAATTTAGTTTTTTACTTAACTTTTTCTACTCACTTGCAGTTTGCTGCCCATTTGTGTTGCGTAATGAAGCCGTGGGAACCCTGGAGAGGATTTTCTTCAGCTCCGTTAAACAGAAACACAATCGAGTGTTGGAATGGAGTCCTCGATATAGTCATTTGGCGTAGGACCTCCAACATGACCACAACCATGGTGCCATCATCGCCAGAGCCTATTCCTCCAATGATTAGTAATAATCCTAAGGCTTCAGAAAGTATCACTTACCCGGACTCGAGGGCTTTGAATCGAAGTGACTGTTGACAAGCAAATAGGACTGACTAGGGGAGTCCTTTGAACTCAGCTTTACCACCACATTGTGTATTCCCTGATACATGTTCACCATTTCGTTAAATACATAGCTTCCTGTCGGCGACTGGACATCCACCTCCAGTTCATAGAGATCACTGTTCATTTCAACACGAATCTTCTCCACCTCGGCCAATAAAAACTCCACAGTTGTCACCTCGTTTGCAACGCTGCCAACCACCTTGGGCCCGATTCGATCGAAATCATGGAGCTGCCTTTGAGCGCGTTCTCCTACAAATTCTCCTGGGTGGAGCAACTCCTGACTGACTGTTATCCTGTCCGGGAGTCGATTGTAAAGTGGTATCACAATCGCATAGAATAGTGCCAGCCAGAGGAGTATAAACGAAGGGGCGTAGTACCAGGAAAAACTTCGCTTCTGGATCTTTCCAAAGCTCAGCAGGAAAGACTCTTCGAAAGCAATTTCCTAGGGTAAGAGGCCACTGGATAATTCGATATCCAGTTGCTAAGGTAGCACTTACCTTCTTCGGCTCCTTTTCCATGGCTCCAATTACAAATTAAAAAAAAAGCCGATTCAAACCCGTCTACAGTCAACACATAACTAAGCACATCTCCTAAAGCACAGCGACTTCGAACCAACTACCAAACTCATAAAGATAAAATGTAATATGCCTCAATAAATAGGAATCGTTTGGGAGACTCCACAGACTGCCTCTATATCTTGGAACATAGGAGTTCTTATCTGAAATTAAAATGGGCCTAACAACAAAAACGCGAGTCTTTATGATCGCAGATGACGTATATTTTAAAATGGGGATGACGTACTTAAAGGTAAATAATATCTAAGATTTAAAATACATAGCGCTTAAATATAGACGGCCACTCCATGACGTGGGCATAGTCGGGGAAGGCTGCCAGAAATTGTCGAGCCTCTGCATCCCTCTCAAAGTCTGTGCTGACAAAGTGTCCGACAGCTCCAATTTCCAGAACAGGGCCATCAAAGTCCCCATCGGGTTTCTGATTAAAAACGAAGACAATAATAAATAATTTTATAACATTCTCGAATGCTGATAATTACCCATATATCTATATGGAATTTCAATGGGGTATCGTCTGTTCCGTATGAAAAGAAGATCTGGTAGGGGGGCTGGAACTCCTCCGGTTCATCCAGCATTTTTCTTACAAAGGACCAATCGGATACCTCAGCTGGGCCCAGTGGTTGAATGAATACATTCATGTGAGGTGGGCCGCTCATTTGGAACTCGAACCTTGCTGTCTGATTCGACGCTGTTACAGTCTTCCCTAAGAACTCAAAGTTCAGTTGGCCTGGTATCATTACCTCGGACTCGCGGGGCAACCAGCCAGCCCAGTCCCTCCATCTGCACCAACTGTAGTAGAAGCAAGGAATGCCGCACATCACGTACTTGTCACAATCCCGCTTTACAGGAGCCAGGCCCGTGAGGTCCAGCTTGGAGTTCTTGAGTGGGTTCAGGGCCCGTCTGTCTTGGTAGTCGAAGTAGTAGCCTGAGTCACTAAGACTCAAAGAACCGTCGTACTCGTAAATGTAGCGGCGAGTGTGCTAAAAGAATTTCGAACTTATTTAATCTCCCAACCGCCATAAAGCAGTATATAATATCTTACCAAACAACTGATTCGCATAACATTTGTCTTTGGGCGATAGGGGAAACCCACTTCCGAGACGGCGATCATGCAAAAAATGAAAGTGACCACGCCCAAGCCGAGGAGTATTAGCTTTGGCCAGCGGAACATGTTGATAAATTGTGCCTATAGATGACAAGCATTGTATATGGATCCGATAAGAACTGTTCAAAGTGAGATCTTACCGCAAAGCCCAAAGCAAAGAAGGTGCAAATGCCACAGAAAAGGGCTATAAACAGATCAGGATTTGAGTTGTATCCATTCCTTCCCAGAACCGGGAAGAATATCACCAAAAACATGTAGAAAAGATAGCAAAAATAGCAGAAAGGCAACACCTGCAGAACAACGACGATTATGCCCCAGTAGTAGCCTACAAAATAAGGTTATTAAATATACAATAAATATTAATTAAGGCAGTTTAAATTACCTTTATCGTGAAGTTTGCTAATCAAGTTAATCAAAAGAGCTCCTCCATAGAAGATCATCGATATAACAGACAGATACTGAGATCGGAAGCCCATGGCGGTCAAAATAAGAGCCAAAAAGGCAAAAACCACTAAGTGGGCATGCAAACTCAGTTGCAAATGATAAGGATGGCTAAGTTTATCCTGGAAATTTTAATTTAATTTAATTTAAGAGATATATAGAGGGGAAAGACATTGAAATACTCACTTCTGGTTTCCAGGTGTAGTACAAGCTTAGTGGAATCACCAAGCCAATTATTGCTGGACAAATGTAGAGACCAAACACCAACCAATTGCTGGTGAAATAGGTCAGTGATCGGTCCCCGGCATCAAAAATAACAGCCATTAACAGGGGGAGGCAGATGCATAGCATAAATCCGATCACATGCAGACCCAGAATGATCAAAAACGAGATGGATATATCCTTCAGCGACTGCTCCTCCGACTGCTGGGACATCCTCCAAATAGAACAGCCCACCAAGACCAGACTAATAACTCCGATAAGGCAGTTAAGAATGATTCCTGTCGTTTCCGTGTAATTTACAAGAAAGAGGCCCAGGAAATCAAAGAAGATGGCGTGGCCTTTATCATCGCTCTGAAAATGAACGTAAGTTTGTACTTAGGTTACCCATTGTGAAAATATAGTCACTGCCAACCTCCTCCAACAATTCACTGGCATTGGAATAGGCCCGGACGAGGGCCAGGATATTGTTTCCGGTGTTCTGAATAGCTCGCCCAGGAACCGCCTCATAGGTGTCAAAAGGAGTGTGGTAGACATATCCATTCTGAATCTGGGCAATGTCAAGGCCTGAGTAAAACAATAAATTTGTTATCAGAGATTTCAGATTATGACTAACCAACTAACCAGGGATATTTCCAAAGTCCCGGAAAATTCGAAAATCTGAGTCAGAGGGAAGAATTCCACTTTGGAATATCTCCTCAGCCATAGTGGTTGCGAAGGGGTGTTTAATATGCTCCTTGTAGTACTAAGTAAAGAAACGAAAGTCTTAGAGAATTTTGGCAATAAACGAATTTTGCCATAAAACTGGCCATAAACGTTCAGAAGTTCATTTTTGTGACATGCAATAACACGAAAGGTTTTTGTTTGTGCTTTGTTGTCCAGAATGATTCGATATTTACCTTCATTACCCACGGATTATTGGGACCACTCTGGAACAAGAGATCACGTCCCCCACTACCACCGACTTCTAGGTTGATAAAGGCTCTGGGGGTATATAAATTTGTTATGATAAAGTTTGTTTACGGGCGAAATTTATTTGGACTCACTTGCAGTTCCCCGCCCACTTGTGTTGCGTAATGAACCCATGGGAACCCTGGAGGGGATTTTCCTCAGCACCGTTGAACAAAAAGACGATGGGGTGTTGAAAAGGGGTCCTCGATATCGCCATTTGTCGCAGCACCTCCAACATGACCACAACCATGGTGCCATCATCGCCAGAACCTAGTTCTCCGCTAATTAGAACTAATTCTTCGGCTTGAGGAAGCATCACTTACCCGGACTCGTTGGCTTCGAATCGAAGTGGCTATTGAGTAACAAGTAGGCCTGGCTGGAAGAGCCCCTTGGACTCAGCTTCACCACCACGTTGTGAATACCCTGGTACATGTTCACCATATCGATGAACACATAGCTTCCTGTGGGCGATTGCACATCGACCTCAAGCTCGTAAAGATCATTTTGCATTTCCGTTCGGACCTTTTCAATTTCATTTACCAGAAACTCCACCGTTGTGACCTCATTAGCATAGCTACCCGTGACTTTGGGCCCGATTCGATCGTAAACATAGAGCTGCTGCTGGGCCCGTTCCCCCACGAATTGTCCTGGCTTCCAGGACTCCTCGGCAAAGGTGACTCTGTCCGGAAGGTAGTTGTAAAGCGGGATCACGATGGCATAGAAGAGAGCTACCCAGAGAAGTATAAAGGTTGGGGCATAGTACCAGGACGGTCGCTGTGTGCGCTCATGTCCTTTTTGCACCCACAAAGACTCAATAAGAGCGGTGTCGACGGGAATCTCCTGATAGGGCGCCACACTATAAATTACTCGTAACACACTTTAATAAATCAGTACTCACTTTATCAGTTTTCTCCTCCATTGTAAGATTGGTATTGGGAGCCAAATTAAACCACTCCCATGCCCGGTCCACGCACAACTGAATGTCTGCACCCCGAGCATATCGACTCGAAGCCTTCCGCCGAATTAAGGTCCATAAAGATAAAGCCGTGCGTTAGTTGATACCCGTGGGTTTTCGGTTTAGCGGCGGGGGAAAACAGCTTTGTCTTAAGGCGCACCAGGGCGGCTGGGTGCTCACCCACCGTGTGTACACCTTGGACACGGCCGGAGTATCTAAATTAGAGGGGGTTTTATGACTTAATATAAATATACATAAGTGGCGATTCCGACACACGCTAGGAGCAGCTGAAAATTAAAGCTTATTCATTGACCGATGTCTGAGAGATTACGGTGACGTTACTATAGTATAGAGATTATATTTATTTCTCATCCGCTGCCACAATAGATTACTTTATCGCCGCAACTCGGAATGCCAGACATATAATCGATGCAAATCAAAATTAACTTAAGGATTACGATCTTAAAAGATAAACCGCTTGAACAGCGATGGCCATTCCATAATGTAAACAAAGTCAGGAAATTCGTCTATGAACCGGATTGTAGTTGCATCTCGCTCGAAATCCTTGTTAATGTAGTGCCCCACGACACCCAACTCGAAAGTGGGCCCCGTAAAATCTCCATTGGGGTTCTAAAATTTATGAACTCCAAAGATAATTTATAGCTTTAAAAATAGCATTCAACTTACCGCGAAATCGATGTGAAATTTAAATGGAGTTGAGTCAACACCGTATGAAAAATATATTTGATAGGGCGCCGAGTACTTTTCTGGCTGATCTAGCATTGTCCGAACGAAGGACCAGTCCTCTATAGAAGCCCCAGACAAGGGACGAATGTACAGTCCCATGTGTGGTGGACCCGCCAGCACAAAGTCAAATCTCTTTGACTTTCCCGTTTCGAGGACACTGGAACTCACGAGCTTTAAATCCAAAGTTCCGGGTACAATCACCTCTGATTCCCGGGGCAACCAGGCAGCGCTGGCCAGGGATCGGCACCAGCTACTCCAAAAGCACGGCATTCCACACATCACGTACTCGTGATTGCAATCGGTGGCCATAGAAGTCAGCCCTGTCATATTTATTCCGTGCGCCTCAAGTGGCCGAAGAGCTCTCCTATCCTGGTAGTCTATGTAATAACCAGAGTCGTCTAACACGGGCCTACCCTCGTAGTCATAAAAGATTCTACGAGTTTCCTTTAATAAAACGCATTCATTTATCCTCCTATGTCTTAACACATTTTATAACTTACCAAAAAGTTTACCCTCATTACACTTGTCTTGGGCCGGTAGGGGAATCCTACTTGAGAAACAGAGATCATGCTAAAAATAAAAGTCACCATGCCCAGGCAAACCAATATTACGGTGGACCACCGGAACATGTTTATCAAAGGAACCTAAAACGTTATCTTGAGTGTATATAGTGTACAAAACTTTACCTTATCTTACCACAAAGCCCAATGCAAATATTGTCCCAATGGCACATACTAAGGCAATTAACATGTCAGGATTGGCCGAATCGCGATTCCTTCCCATTGCGGGAAAGAAAATAACGAGAAATATGTAGAAAATATAGCAAAAGTACACAAATGGCATAATCTGGATGAATTGCGAGGTTACTACCCATGAGTATCCTAGAATCAAAGAATATATAACTGAAATATCAAAACTACATCTTGACACCAACCTTTATCACTCAGCGAACTTAGAAGATTAACCAGTACGGACGCCACATAGAAAAACAAGGACACCATACACATGTATGGAAACCGTAGTCCCAGGGTAGTCAAAATAATAGCAAGGAATCCCACCACCAAACAATGGGCATGCAAACCCATCTGGATCTGATAAGAGTGATTTAACTTGTCCTATAACGATCAAACTCATAATTAAACTGAAGATGCACCTTATCTCTTTCTTACATTTGGCTTAAATGTGTGGTAGAGTGTAGATGGCAGCACTAGCCCTATGATAGCTGGACAGATGTATAATCCAATAACCAGCCAATTGTTGCTGTAATAGGTTAGGGTTCGATCAGTGACATCGTACAAAAGAGCCATCAAAAGGGGCAAAGCAATGGCCACGAGACACCCGATAAGATGCAATCCCAGGATAATAAGAAACCATATCGATATGCGCCCCATCGAAATCTCGGACTTGGTTGCCATTTTCCAAAGGGAAAAGCCTATAAGTATAAAGCTGATCCCCGCAAGAGAACAGTTTAACAAAAAGCCAGTTGCCTCCGTGTAATAAACGAAAAACAGTCCAAGAAAGTCGAAGAATACAGCATGTCCGCCACTGTTTTCCTTTTAAAGATAGAAGAAATATATTCAAAATATCAAAATTATTTCATATTTTAGTATACAGTATACCTCAGAATTGGCCAATTCCTTCGCATTTGATAAAGCTCGAACAAGAGAAAGGATATTCTCACCAGTGGTTTGTATAGAACGTCCTGGAATCACATCGAACCTATCGAATTCTGTATGGTAAACATATCCATTGCTAAATTGCGCTATGTCGAGTCCTAAAATTTAAAATAAACAATAATTATTTCAAATCTAGAAGGGCATATGATTCTTTTACCAGGAATATGTCCAAAGTCTCGAAAGATTCGAAAATCTGTGTCGGATGGTAGAATTCCAAATTGAAAGATTTCTTCTGCCAATGTGCTGGCAAATGGGTGCTTTGAATATTTTTTGTAGTACTAAAATGTATATAACATAATTTAATTTTAAAATATGCTCAAATATAATATAGTTCAATGCTTGCTCTACCTTTATTAACCAGGGATTTTTGGGTCCACTCTGAAATAAAATATCACGTCCTCCGCTACCGCCAACTTCCAAATTAATGACTGCTCTGAAAACAGAATAAACAAGATTTTCAGCTAGAGTTCTTCTCAGAATCAGGAATGTTGCATTCGAGAATATTCCTGCAACTTACTTGCAATTGGAAGCCCATTTGTGCTGAGTTATAAAACCATGAGAAGCTTGCAGGGGATTCTCCTCGGCCCCATTGAATAGAAAAACTATTGGATGTTCAAAGGGGGTTTCCGAAATAGACATTTGACGCAGCACTTCCAGCATGACAACAACCATAGTGCCATCATCGCCAGCACCTTACCAAGATATAGACTTAGTAAAAATTTTTGGAATAATATTTAATTGGCCCTACTTACCCGGGCTTCCTGGCTTGGAGTCAAAATGACTATTTAGCAGAAGATAAGTTGAGCTATTAGAGCTTTTGCTGCTCAGCTTCACAACCACATTCTGGATGCCCTGATACAAACTGGTCATTGTGCCGAGGACAAACATACCATTTGGCTGCTGCAGATCCACTTCCAGATCATTGATATCCCCACGCATTTCATTCCGAATCTTTGACACTTCATTCAAGAGCAGACTAACCGTTTCCACCTCGTTTGCCTTACTTCCGACCACTTTAGGCCCGATACGATCGAGTTGGTGAAGCACCCTTTGCGCTCTCTCCGCCACAAACTCGCCGGGCTTTTGTGGCTCGTCAGCGATGGTTAAGCGGTCGGGTAATCGGCCGAAAAGCGGAAGCACAATTGCGTAGAATAGCACCACCCAGATGAGCAGAAAGAAGGGAGCATAATACCAGGGAATTCTCCTCCGCGATTCCTTCTTTTTCGACAAGACATTGTACAGAACCGTATCGGAGTAGTTTTTCTAAAATAAAATTTTCATTAACTTTGGTGTAATGTTTGTATGAAAATACTGACTTTATCAACGTCGGCGGTTTCCATTTCGATTCTCGAGGGGCGAAACGGTGAAGCTCACTGTTGTCCAACCGACTCGCTACTAAATTCTCTGTAGCAGAACCACTTCGGATCGGTCAGTGGCACTTTCGAGCGAGTAAAGATAGGCTGCAGTGCCCACTCGTTCTCTGATAGGAAGATTTATTATTTAAAATCTACCTCTACGGGTCACATCAGATATTAGCCCCCCCCAAATCTAATCGGACAATCTTAGAACAGGCCAATAATCGGAAGAAACCTCCACTAGTGATTAATCTGCTCGCGGTACATTGTTTATTTTCAGTGCTTTTAATGGGATGTCTTAAATTAAAGTGTTTGGTGCAAACAAAATAAGCTATTGTTATTAGCTTAGAATATATAACGTTCATAGAGAGTTGGCCATTCCATGACGTGAGCAAAGTCTGGAAAATCAGCTATAAACTGCAAGCCAGCTGCATCACGTTCGTAGTCATAGCTGACAAAACTAGCAGAAAACCCCAACTGGAATGTGGGTGCATTAAAGTCTCCAGAGGATTTCTGTTAGTCCAAAAATATACATTAATATATACTTATAGATTTTTAGGAAGAACGTACCGCAAGGTCAATGTGAAATTTCAAAGGAGAGTTATCAATTCCATAGGCAAAGAATATTTGATAGGGTGCCGAGTACGTTTCGGGTTCATCAAGTTGATTCCGTATAAAGGACCAATCATCCACAGATACTCCATCAAGTGGCTGTATGTACAGGCTCATGTGTGGAGGTCCTGACATTTCAAATTCAAAACGCGCCACTTTTCCCGACTCCAGAACGGTTTTACTGAGAAGCTTCAGTGACGTTGGTCCAGGAATAGTTATCTCTTTTTCACGTGGCAGCCAGTGGCTTTTCTCTCGGGTCTTGCACCATCGGTGGTTAAAACAAGGAATACCGCACATCAAATACTTATCACAATACGACGATGTGCTAATCATGCCAGTGAGATTCAAGGAGTCCTCCAGAGGATAATAGAGCCGACGATCCTGAAAGTCGAAATAGTAGCCAGAGTCGCTTAGGCTCACCGAACCATCGTATTCATAGAAGATGCGGCGAACGTGCTAAAAGATAATATTGTTTTATTTTTTCAAATCGCTACGGTTATTGTTATTGATTCTCGCACCTCGAAGTGAATCCGCATCACATTGGTCTTGGCGCGATAAGGAAATCCCACATCCGAAACCGCAATCATGCAAAAAATAAAAGTAACCACTCCCAAACCAAGCAATACTAATTTTGGCCAGCGGAACATATTAATCAGGGGGGCCTAAAATAATAAATTTTTTTTAAATATACCATTAGGAAGCCGCAAGATCCTACCACAAATCCTAACGCAAAGAAAGTTCCCAAAGCACATATCAGACCTATAAGAAGATCTGGATTTGTGCCGTGGCCAAAGCGGCCTAACATGGGAAAGAAGACCTGTAGAAATGTGTAGAAGAGGTAGGAGAAGTAAAGGAACGGCATCAATTGCAGGATTTGAACTGCAAATACCCAAAGATAACCTAAAAAGACACAAAAATATTTTAAAAATAATCTTTCTTCAAATTTAAAATCCAATTATCTACCGCGATCATGAAGAGTACTCAGAAGATTGATTAGAACAGATCCTGCATAGAAAAGCATAGACATCATACATAGGTAAGGTGTCCTCAGACTTACGGCCGTAAGGACAATGGCAATCAAAGCCAAAAGTATGCAGTGAGCATGAAGGCTCATTTGTAGGTGATTAGAATGGCTTATTTTCTCCTGGGATATAAATAATTATTCGATTTTATTCCTTTTGAAGTTTAATTTATCGATTAACTCACATTCGGTTTCAGAGTATAATAAAGCGTCAAGGGTAAAACCTGACCTATAATTGCCGGAACCACAAACAATCCAATCACTAACCAGTTGTTACTGAAATACGTCAAAGAACGGTCTCCAGCATCGTATACGACGGCCATCAGAAGCGGTAACCCAAGAGAAAGAAGCATTCCTAGGACATGAAGCCCTACAATGATGCTGAACCATGTGGATATCTGCCCCAGTGATGCATTCGATTCACGGGCCATTCTTAATAGAGAGCAACCCACGAGAATCATACTGACCACAGAAATACAACAGTTCAGGATAATTCCAGTGGTTTCTGTATAGTACACAAAGAAGAGTCCCAGAAAGTCGAAGAAAACGGCATGTCCTTTGCTATAATCCTAAAAACACACATTAAACGTTTTAAAATTTAAAGAAGAAAAAAATAAACTCACCTCTGAATTATTAATTTCATTAATTTCATAAGCATTGGCAAAACCGCGTACCAAAGATAAAGCATTGTCACCAGAACTTTGGAGGGAAGTTAGGGGAATTACCTGAGCATTATCGAAAATGGTGTGATAAACATAACCATTACTAATTTGAGCCATGTCCAGTCCTGGCAAGGTAAATTAACTTATTGGTTCAATTTCAAAAGTTCAATAGTATATAAGTTTTAAAACCCACCTGGAAGCTGTCCATAATCCCGAAATATACGAAAATCAGAATCAGAGGGAAGGATTCCTGATTGAAAAATCTCCTCGGCCATTGTGGTGCCAAACGGATGTTTAGCATTTTGGTTGTAGTACTATAAAAAATTGTAAATGGGTTGTAATAATGATTAACATTATTATACGACTATAAACGAGTTATAACATGGTACACAAGCTTATCAGTCACACGCCTTTTAGAAATACTTTGTAAATAAAATCAAATTGCCGCACTTATCGGTTTAAAACCCGATAAATAAATATCATAAGACTGGCATCATAAGCCTATAAATTGACAATGTTCATACGGGTACGCGGAAGTTCTTGGGTTTTTTAACTAGGAATAAATTGCCTACCTTTATGAGCCATGGATTATTGGGGCCGCTTTGAAAGAGAAGATCACGCCCTCCACTACCGGCTACTTCCAAGTTAATTAGAGCTCTAAGGGTTTTATGGTTTTGGAATAAGGTCCATTCAAAAATATTCGAATATAACGGCTTACTTGCAATTTGGGGCCCATTTGTGCTGTGTAATAAAGCCATGAGAGGCCTCCAAGGGATTCTCCTCGGCTCCATTAAAAAGAAAAACTATAGGATGCTCGAATACGGTTTCCGAAATGGACATTTGCCGCAATACCTCTAGCATAACCACAACCATAGTCCCATCATCCCCAGAACCTTAAAAATAAATATATACATTTGTAGTTACTTAAATATTATTTCAGAAAAAACCTACCTGGACTAGTTGGCTTGGAATCAAAGTGGCTATTCATCAGGACGTAGGAAGAGCTATTGGAACTCTTGCTACTTAACTTTACGGCCACATTCTGAACTCCCTGGTACATGTTCACCATTTGCCAGTGCATATAAGCTCCAGACGGTTGCTGAACATCCAATTCCAAATCGTAGAGATCCGTGCGCATAGCTGCCCGAATGTTTTCCACTTCTTCCTTAATAAAGGCCACTGTAGTCACCTCGTTCGCCACACTACCCACAACCTTGGGTCCTATTCGATCATACTTGTACAGCAATCTCTGCGCACGTTCCGCCACGAATTCTCCTGGCTTTCGAGACTCATCCGCAATCATAACACTATCAGGAAGGCGATGGTAGAGAGGGAACACGATCGCGTAGAAAAGAGCTACCCAAAGGATCAGAAATGAGGGGGCATAATACCAGGGTAAACGTTTTTTTTGCTTTTGAATCGATAAAACGTTAATCAGACCCATGTCCGACACGTTGTTGTCGGAATCCTTAAAAAAATTTTTATGACAATCAATTTAATTTTGAAAATACAAACTCACATTCTTGATCCTTGATTTCATTTCGGCGGTATCCGGACGGCTCTACAGTTAAACAGTTCCTCTGGCCAGTCGTCGGTGAACTGAAAACGTTGTCCCAACAGCGCCCAAGGCACCTTAAGTTGGAGCTAGACGGATATTATCAGCAGTGATTCGCACTTTGTATCCCATAAAGATTAATGTTTTCGCGCATGCAATATACCGCTCAATACTAACATGACTAAAAACCCAACTTTCCATTTAGTTGTGGTTGTATTTGCCTATTTTATATCTAAATAACAGCGAATTAATCGAATCTTTATCTTTATATCCCCTCAAAAAATGCTCTGATAAACTGTTGTCGGCACGCTCCATTGCTGAGTGGCTGGATTTCGTTCGAAAACTAAATCTTATCTTTACGTCCCAAAGCCTCCCATATCATCTTGAGCTACTTCAGTACGGCATCCTATTAAGGCCATTATGAGCTAATATTGGCATTAAACGAGCACGAAGGTGGTTCAATGTCGATAAAATATGAACGAAAAAATTATGCAGAATAAATTATTTATTGTTACGATTTATGGTATGTAGCAAATTTAAGTTTGAATTCTTTAAGATTTTCTAAGGTTAACATGAGTGTATCAATTATTTATCCGGTAAGTACATGATTTAATGATTACATTACAAGTCCATTTACAAAAGACATATGAAAATCAACATTTTGTTACATCTACACTAACCTACGGTTTGTACTTGGTCAGTTTTGTGGACAACAATGCGCCGATTACTGTTGCAGGGACTCATAGATGTTTTTCAGCAGTCCGGCGACGTCTTCTGCATATGGAATGTCTGAGTATCGATCCGGTTTCTCGGATTTCAAAACTGTCAACTGTAGTCGCAGGCCGGTCAGTATTTTTAGCAGTTTAGTTCCTCGCAGCATTCCTCTATATTTGGCTCCGAAGCAAAATAGTTTCCACACCATTAGCACAGATAGACGGTGCTCCTCCAACGAGCTCAAATGGGACTTTGAGTCCCCGATTCCGTCCAGATCTCTAACAGGTTGGTTTATAATATCACGAAGTAAGTTAATAAAATCTGACGCCTCCACAAGTTGAGTTCGATTTCCAGAGAAGAAGCACATGTTGCGGAGAATGCGGAGGCACAGAATTCTCATGTAGTGTAGTGGCGTTGAATATCTAACAGCGGTAATAAGCGAATGAAGGTGACACACCTTGGCTCCTACGTCATAACGGGAATACACCTCCCAAAACCCCAGCCAAGCGTTAAAAACCAAGGGTTTCAAACCTTTGGCTACGTTTAAAGAGTTGATGGTAGAAGCGTTTGATGGAAGAATTGTGTCGAACATATCCAGTACATGCATCTTACTTAAGCTCAATCGACCCTCTGCGCTGGAGCAACAGTTGATCATCACGCGCAATGCGGGCACCACACATTGGTTACCCGCACTATGAGAGGTCTCCTTCCTAGTCGTTTCGTGGTCAGCCACGCGAGCCATTAGCTGGAGCAGGGAATGCGATTGGCCGGAGTGAACGAGCGATATCTGCTTGCAAATTTCGAAAGAATGCTCTGAGAGGAACATGGCCAGCTGGACGGTCAACTTTTTTAAAGGAGCTGAGTGCGATAACCAGGGCCACATGCGGATAAGAAGTTTCACAGTTGTCACAGCCAATGTGGGCTGAGTTATCACGGCATGATGAGAGCTGTGCCATTGGGCCAACATATTAAAGAGCACCAGAAGATTACTCAGTATGTCTCTCGACTTATGGGCCCCCACACGCTTTACGTAGGTACAGGCGTTTCCAATGTTTGTGTCGCTAAGGAAAGTGTCCAATATATTAAGGACACGGTCCAGCAGCTTCAGCTGTCTAGCTGCATGAACAGCCCAAGGCGAGATTTTTAATAATCCGCCGAGGGTCTCGCAAATCTGAACATGACCAGCGCTGGGAGGATGCAGGAAGTTAAACAACTTTGGTGGATAGTAAAGTTCAAAAAGACGATCCAGACGGCGGTAAATCAATACTACAGCATTGGTAATCTTCGAGGATGTTGGGGATTTGGGACATTGAGCATCTGTATCCCCCTTCGATGGTGGACTTTGCATACACACCGATATAAGTTGCTTACTTATAGTATTTACAGCCTTTTCCGTCCCATGCGAACCACTCTCCTCTTCATCACTCGGTTCAAGGTCATCCAGTGGCAGAACATAGAGTTCCAAACTCTTAAGCAGCCTCGTCTTTTCCGGAGCATTTTGTGTCTTTATGAAAACCATGGACAGGGATGACAGCGTATAGCGTTGCAACGGCGTGTCCTTGTAGGACAAATGCAGTCCATAAAGAAAGAAGTCCAAAAACAGGGGCTCCTGTACAGCGAACTGCTCACATAAAAATTCATAGGCGTTTGAATCCTTGCAAAACACGAGAAACAACTTGAATAGATGAATTATCATGGTTTCCGGTAATTCCAAATCTAGGACGTTGTTAATAAGCGCAAGGAAGCATTGCAGCAACACACTGTCCCGGCAGATGGTCCGCTTCAGGAACTCAAAATTATCACGATAGCACAAGGCGTACAGCTCGCATATTTTCCCAATGCACAGCTCTAAATACGCCTTGGAGTGGGTTTTAGGCGGCGGTGGCGGCGGTATCTTCATGATATCACTTAGGCAGTTCATGAAACTAAGCTCGCACAACGTCGCACACCACTCCGGACGCATTACAACTAGCTGAGAGCAAATGCCAACATAGCAACTAAGTATTTCGCACGAGTGTTGTGGGCCCTCCAGCTTTGTTTCTATCGATTTACTCACGTGTAAGGCCTTTAGCGCCAAGTGGGCATCCTTGTGGAAGTCATGAATGCGCAGCAACTCGATACAAGCATCTGCCCCAATGAGCGGCATTAACAGGATAAAGACGCGACCAGAAAGCTGTCTTACAAGCATTACTTCATGAATGTCCAAAAGTGTGGTCAAGCAACATGCAGGCAACCCACCGGGCAAATAGTTAAGACGGGGCAGAACGTCGGTTATTTCGACAGAACGGGCCGTGATCCAATTGGCCATTACCACCCAAGAAAGGGCACGCACCTCACAGTCACTGTGGCCACACATGCCCAAAAGGTATCGCAGCACCTTGAAGGTCAATCCCTTATCATTGACAACTGCCTGTTGCCCGCCTGGAAGTCGTTCAATCTGTGTCTGCAATTGGCAAATGACTTTCAAACAGTCCCGCTGCCACTGTGCTCCCGTTTGAGTTGAAGTCCGCAAATCGCTCGAGAGCTGTATGAAGGTCTCGCAATAGTCCTGAAATTGATATGTTAATGTGTTAATAGAAAAGGTTCAAAACCTGGCACTTACCATAAGTTGAGCTTCACTAAAGCGCAGTTTCCGTTCACTAAGCCGCCCCAGAATGCGTAGAAAGCAACGCACATGTTGTAGCTGGCGAAGATCAAAATGAGCGCGGGCTTCCCCGATCAGTTGCATGAAAAGTTTTCCATGCCAGTTTGTTTCTACGGTGTCGTCCTGGGCGGCAATCAGGTGACAAAAACATTGGCTGATGAGGTCCAACAAATCCAGCGAGATGGAGCGGTTTTGCAGGAGCAGCAAGGTGCTGTGATGAGGATCCGATTCGACGACCTTGCTCAAACCGCTTATTACCTGGGGCATTTTAAGCCTCAGGCAACTTAGGCAAAGACTCAGCACAGACTTGTACAAATCGCAATCGGCCTCATTGCCCGGAACCGAACGCATATACTTGTGGATCAACTGCCAAATAGCAGTACCTTCCGACGGTGGCACCTCATTTCGCATGAAGACTAGGAAAAGCTGAAGTTCTGACAAGATTTTCTCCAAGTCCTTGTGGCTGCTGCAATTGCTAGCGATGGTTAGATGGTTACGCAGCTGACTATCCAGCTGGGTTGCCTTCACCAGGGCCACATCGCTCGTTTTGATCTTCAATGAATTGCGTATGTCAAGATGCTGCATAGCATCCTGGTTGATGTTCGATGGGCTTTGGCATATACGAAGCGCTGCAAATAAACGCCAGTGGAGGGCGGCTCGGAAACTGTCGCCATTAAAATAGGACTCCTGCAACTGCTCTTCCAGAGATATTCCCTCAGCCACTAGTGTAGGCTTCAATGTGAGATCCATTTCGTAGGTTATAGGCACCTTTATTGTGGTCAAGTCTACATCCAATATTAGTTTTTCCTCTGAAGCATTGATGTTTTCGAACCAAAGCATTTGGAAGAGGCAAACACTTCCGTCGCGGCGCAACTGCGTATCGTGGGGAAGCAAAAGCAGGGCCCTTAACAGGCAAACATAGACCTCATAGGTTCCAGCAAGATCCCTGCGAAATCGCGGACTTTGAAACATCAACTTCATCAGGATACTAACGACAGGCAGCAGAATGTCCGCAGGATCGCCAGAGCTCTCCTTCCTCAAAGCATTGTGCAAGGCTTCAAGAATTAGGGGATAGCCCGCTTCACGAGTTGAGAAGTCCTCGCAGGCTTTCCAGTTTAGCAACAGCACATTTAATTGGGCAAAAGTAGACTTTCGAATGGACGGCTTTAAATCTTTAGTTTGCAACAGGCGGAGCAGAGCATCTAGACTTCGTTGTCCCTGAAATGATTCCGAGGTACGTTCCGTAAAAATGCTACCATAGTCGACTGCCGTTTCATTAAGTTGGAGTCCGTGGATGAAAAGCTCGTTGGGAAGCTCGTCCATGGCTGGCCTGTATTTTTTCATGTGGTCTTGATACTGCAGTAGGTAAGCAAGCTTAGCGGTAGCATCTTTTCGAATCTTCGGATCCGAGTGGTACAAGTAGCAGACGTATCCACGCAGCATTATGGGTGGCTCCAGGCACGTGACATCCGGCTCGAACAACTGCCACAGTATCTTGTGAAGCTGACTGTTGGTTATTGACCTACAGACCATCAGAGACAGTACGGGGAGAACGACCTGGAACATTTTGTGGAAGTCAGCATCTGGCAGTACGCAGTGAAGCTTCAGAAACATGGTTAGGTAATCAATGCACCACTGCGCAATCTGGTCCGGTGCATTAGGATCCCAGCTGTCGAGAATCAGCTTGCGAAGCACTTTAGAACTCAATGGCAGTCCGAAAATGTGATGGCGGGCCAGGTCCAAGTTGCTGCACCCTGGCATGTATGCGGTTTTGTTCGTGAATGAGTGGAAATGTGAAACAATAGGCCGCGGCATAAGTCGGTACACATATTCACGAAGGTGCTGATCCTGTATATCCAGCAGATTGTATAGCAAAGAATCGGCTTCCTGTCGCAGCTTTTCATTGCTCACATAAAGCGGCGTACATTCGAGAATGGCGTCGAACAGCAGCTTCACCAGCGTCTCGCTGCCCATCTGATTGACCACTAGGCAAATTTGTTTGTGCGAATTTATTAATTGCACCGCTCCCATACGCGTCTTAGGAATCATTTGGTTCAAAGCTACGCTGTAGGCGCGCTTAAGGCGAAGCAATTTCTGCTCTGACAAAGTTGGCTCTGCGGAGAGTTTGCAAATCAAGTCGCTCAGCGACTTCATGCGATTTGGTACGCACGACAGATATGAACTGTCCAGAACAATAGGCTGGACTAGAGATCTAGAATAATCACGATTGATGTCTTGGTCGTACTTGAGATTCAGCTCCAATGTGTCCTGTATGAGGTCATTACAAATAAGCGACTGAAGTCGGGGAATCGTCAGAGTTTCCATCAGCTTTGACATATCATTGCCCTCAACAGTATTACAATATGAAATCAGTTTCTTAACCATATGGGCCAAGCGTTCCGTGGCCAAAGGAGATAACTTGCTTTTTAGGAAGCTATGGGTGTGAATAGCCTCATCACACAGCTCCAATGTGTGCCAGTTGTGAGTGGTAGAGTGGAAAAGCATCAAGTTAAGTATTTTTAAGCAGCTGTCCATCAGCACTCTCAAAGCACTCTCCATCTTTAGCTGTTTTCCCTGATTTCCGGGGGGGTCCAGGCTAGCGGCATAGCTGAGGGTTTTGTGGCGAACTTGAAGGCGCCTTTGGAACTGCTTCAGGCAGGCGACCAGCGCTCTATTAATGTGACCTATGCTGGCGACAGCGTATCTCTGAAGCCGAACCAAGTGCAGAAAGATAAAGGGCGTCTGAAGTAAATACTCCGCTGGGTAATCTTTTATCCGAATGGCCAAGTGGGTAACTTTGGCTTGCACATCAATGCTGTCTGGTTCAGTGTCACTATTCGGCATATCGAGCATACTCTTCATGCTTGCAATGTCGTCCATGCTAGGCTGCGACCAAGCAGGCTCATAGTCCTCCGGCGTAAAACTATCTTCTAGTTGGCTTATCCTGCTGCTGCTGCTGCTGCTTGCCTCTGATCCGGCGCTAGTCAGATCTACGGTACATACCGAAAATCGAGCGTTTTCAGCGTTCTCTCGTTCAGGATCGTACAAATCTTTCACCTGCAGCTCTAGGTCTTCCATAAGATCCATCACACGTTTCGATTCCTCAGAACCCAGGATTCGCCGCACTTTCGACAGTTCAGTCTCTAAACGCGATTGAGGAATCTTACGAATCACCGCATCAGCGTACTCGGATCGCAGCAGCTCCAACATCATGGTCAGCACACGGTCTGTGGCCAACGGGGGAAGTGCGAACCAGCGAATTAGCTGCTTTAGGAGTAACACCGGCTTGAACTGCAGTGGCTCGCCCAAACTCAGGCAGCGTATGAAGCGCGTCTCCACCTGCTCCAGGGCGCGCATCCGGATTTCCCAAGACTCGTTGGTCAGCTTTGCCAGCAGCGGGTCTGCCAGCTGCAGCGACATGCACTGTTTCGAGCTCATTGTAGGCAGTTAGGTGTCCCTCAGAAGCAGGGCCTAATAACAGATCGTTGTATCCGAGCACCAATTTAGTTCATAAAAATTCTAAATGACATTTTTAAAAGCACCATCGATAAAAGTACTATCGATAGTACCATCGATAGACTTGCAGATGGTATCTGCGAAATGGTATCTGGTGGAATCTTGGTATTTGGTCGGCTGCGGTCACATTTAAATGAAACAAAAACCTATTTAACCTACCCGCAACACCACACAATTGTCCAAAATTTACTAGTTTCTATTTAAATCCACGGATAACTTTAAAAACGTTCGAAGTATTTTGAGAGATTATGGTTGTTTGTTATTGCTTATAAGTGCGCAAATAGTCTGAGTACTTATTGTGTAAGTTTATTGTTTGATCTTTTTGCTACAACTGTCCGGCTGATCTGAAACTTAACCGGTTTTTTGCAACCTGGAATAAAATGCAATTAAATTTAAAACAAACCTCGGGCAAACTGCAGTTTCATTTTCGCTTTGAAATAAACGAAAGCCGTACTCTATTGTTATCTTGTGATGTCAGTGAGTGTGTGCTGTGTTGTTCATCTTTTAATTTTGCGCACAGCCCAAAACAAACACAAATACAAAAACCTTTAGAAGGTGCAAAGTGACTGAATGAATTTTTAATCCAAACAAAGCATATGCTAAGGTAAAATGATGTCATTTAAGGAATGCCTCCTATCTTCCTCCCCCACACACGCATACTCGCACATTAACCAGTCGTGCCTTTTCGTCCTTTGTAAACCATCCACACATACAACATATGATTAGGTGGCAATCAATAGGCAAAACAAACACGCTCTGTCCCGCCCCCTCCGAAATTTGTAATTAAAATGAGCACGCTGTTAGGAGGGGCTTCTATAGTCCCCCTCTTCGGTCAAAAGCAACAGGTCGGATGAATTGAATGAATGTGTGCTACTGTGCCAAAAGATTGCCTAAGTGACAGGTATTTACGGCTTATCTTATCAGATTGCCCACTTTTACCCACGATTACATAGCGATTATCGTTTCGCATCATTGCACATTGAACTTTGAACGAAATATTTACCAAAAACTAATTTCATTGAGCATCTACTGGACTTTGTATGTGTTATAAAATACACATTAGTATCTACTATATTATAATATATTAAAATATTTTGCAATAAGAGTCTGGCTAATTGTCGTATTTCTCTCCACAAGTGAGAAAATGATTACAAAAATGCATTTATTTCACATCTAAATGTCTGGGAATTCAATTGGAATTGGAGGGAATTGGAAAAGAATTCCTATTCAAGCCTATAAACCAGTGATAAGCTAAGGCTTTCCCAATTCCGGCTAATCGGTGAGAGAAGCGGCTATTATGGTACAATTCCAGCAAAGTTATTTCCTGATTTATCGCAGCCGCTTCGCGTAAACAAACGACACGACCTCTGTATGAGTCACTATACCTTATCATTTTTCCATTTTTTTAGCGTTCCAAACAATTATAGTTTTATGACCCTGTATTGCGTTGAAGCTCGTGAACGTAATGTTATGTATTGCGGCTATTCACTCTCTGTGGTCTGATGAACTCTCTTTGTGCCATATTATCTTCACCAATTTAAGCAGTGAATTAGCTGTCTGAATAGGACTTACGATAAGATAAAACCAAATCAAGTCGCCGAGCGAACATATGGCTATAGAACATTAAACAGCCCCGATTTCCAGCACGATTGGATATTTAAAACTTTCCACTGTTGAGTCTCTCAACTCGAGCAGTAAAGTCGTCAGTGTAATGGAACGAACAAAGTTTACTTAAAGTTTCCTCAAACAGTGAAAAAAGAGACATAAACGTTTTTTTCCGTATACATAAGTATGTATCTGGATGCAAATTTCTTATAAGCTATTTAAATTTTAATACTCTTTCCCGATGGTATGTTTATTTTGGCTGTAAATACTGTCGTTAACTGTGAGAAACATTGCGAATTATATTCCCCTAATCCGGCCAGTGTTTTCTGTACATTACATTATCTGAGTTGTGTCTGAAGGCCCGGGTTTTCCTATTTTTGTGTTCGAGTGTTTTTGAGCGTATCCAATGAGTCAGACGCAGGTGTGGAGTCGGCCTATCTGGGACAATTAAGTGGCGGGACATTCAATTATATCTTGCTTCAGACCTAAATAATCGATTGTATATGAGCTCTTCCTCAAATACATGACTTTTAATGTTTCCTATGCGCCAATACTTGATGTAATAATTTGTGGCCATAAAATTCTTTTTTTTTTCATTATGACTCATATATTTTTGCATGCCAATTATTGAATTTTTAGACTCGTTAAATTTTCCAGACCAGGAGCATATGGGTGAGACAAGCAGTTCTAAATCAGATTCTCACTAGCTACAAACCTTCGGGCGCACATTCCTCACGTCCAGCGAAATGGCGGAGATCCAGAATGCTCCTCTGTCCCGAGTCATCGGTGGCTACATCTTTGCCATTTTGCAAGCTTGCATTCGATTCGTTTTCCGCCTTATCTATGGCCAGAAAGGAGAGAGCATGCCCCCCATCACAGATCCTATCCTGCTAGAATCAGCAACATCACTGGCCAAAAAGATCCGCAACCAGGAGGTGCGTTCACGAAACTATTTTGATTCATAAATACTAATTAATTTGCTTCAATTCCCAGTTAAGCAGTGTCCAAGTGCTGGAATCCTTCATTCGAAGGGTCAAGGAGGTTAATCCCCTACTAAACTGCGTCGTAGACGAACGGTATGGCCAAGCACTAAAGGAAGCAGCCGAGGCAGATGCACTTATTAAATCCGGCCATTACACCGTGGAGGAGCTGGCAAAACAAAAACCCTTCCTGGGGGTACCCATCACCACAAAGGATTGTATATCAGTTAAAGGTTCGTATTTAATTATCTTAGAACTTTAACTTATACAAACTAATAAACTTTTTGGGTATTCAGGCATGCTTCACACGGCTGGACTATACGAAAGACGCCATGTGCGTGCCACTAAAGATGCGGATGCCATGGCCCTGATGCGCAAGGCTGGTGCCATACCGTTTGCCCTCACAAATGTCTCCGAAGTTTGCATGTGGTGGGAGAGCAACAACACAGTACACGGACGCACAAGGAACGCCTACGATACAAATCGAATTGTCGGCGGTTCTAGCGGCGGCGAGGGATGTATCCAATCCGCAGCAGCATCCGCATTCGGTTTGGGATCTGACATTGGTGGTTCCATTCGCATGCCGGCCTTCTTCAATGGGATTTTTGGCCACAAACCCAGCAAACTAACAGTATCCAATGTAGGCCAGTTTCCAGCACCATTCAGTGCCGAACAGAACGCATTCCTAGGTCTGGGTCCCATGTCCCGTTTTGCAGAGGATCTGAGGCCCATGCTTAAAATTATGGCTGGCGAGAAGTCCGCCCTTCTAAATCTGGATAAGGAGGTGGACCTCACCAAACTAAAGTTCTTCTACCAAGAGTCGGATGGTGGTGGGCGCCTGATTTCTGCAGTTGACTCTGACCTTAGACAAGTAACTTTGCCTACAAAGTCTCTTTTTTTCAATCCTTAAGTACTTATATGTTTCCATTTCAGGCCATGAAACGAGTGGTGCAGCATTTGAACCAAAAGTTTGGCACTCAAAAGGTGGAGCGCATTCAGCTGCCACAATTCCGACAGTCGGCTGCCATCTGGTTCGCCAATATGCGGGACGATAGTGGCCACGGATTTGCCTATCAGCTGGGAAACTTGGAAAAAGATATCAACACGTACCTGGAGCTTATGAAATGGTTCTTCGGAGCCTCGAAGCACACTTTTATTGGCCTGACTACGGCCATAATGGACAGCGCCCAGTGCAAACACGGTTCTCCCAAGTATGATCATCTAGTGAGCAAGAGAAACGAATTGCGAGCGGAGATCCAGAAATTACTTGGTGACAATGGAGTGCTGATCTACCCCACGCATCCGACGGTGGCTCCGTATCACAACGAGCCCATAATGCGACCCATTAACTTTGCCTACACCGGTATTGTAAATGTACTGGGTTTCCCGGCCACCGCAGTGCCGCTTGGTCAACTGGGAAACGAGGGTCTTCCACTGGGTGTGCAGATCATCGCAAACTTTAATGAAGACCGCCTCTGCCTGGCTGTGGCCGAGGAGCTGGAGCGAGCTTTTGGTGGATGGGCAAAGCCCGATGTGCGGCTGTGAAGTCAGTCTGTTTGTAGCTAAGCTAGACGTTAAATAATGGTCATGTTTATTATGTTTACATCCACCCCATGATTCTACCCTAGAATAACCCACCCACCTAAATGATAAAGGTATTCCTTGCATGTACTGTAGTGCCTCAATGTAATATCACTTTTCGATGTGGATTTATCTATTTTGTATGTGCTTTTAACTGTAAATTTATGGACAGTCCTCGTGCCGTGGACCAGTTTCCGTTTTTTGCATTTACAATAAATAATTTCAACCTAAGATTTATTTCCAACAAACCACCTTTTTTTTTTGCAATCCGATTCGAATAAGCGGCTACTGGCGCCATTGGAAAAATAAGCCGACGAATCAAAATGCTGCATCTGAGTCTGGGTATATAAATATTTATTTAAAGACCAAACCCTAATGTCGAGGCAACTTCACCATGAGTCCCCCTGCGACTGCTGTTTTCTTCTCTTCATATTTCATTTAAGTGCTTCGCACTGATGCGATGGAAAAAAACAATTTTATTCGGCAACGAATGCGAAAAATACTAAAATTAGCAATATCATAGATATCTTATTCACATGATTCCTGTCTCTTTTGGGCTAAAGTTATACATTTATGGTGGTAATAGTTAGCTTAAAATTACTGCTTACAAACTGCAGTCTAACCCTTGCCGCCCAGAGAGAGGATCAGCTTGAGGAGCTCGGTACGTTTGGCCTTCACGGTGTCGATGTGAAGGGAGGGCAGTCCCTCAATCACCTCGTACCTGTTTAGAAAATCGGCTATGTGGTCCGTCATACATATCACATGGATGCCACAGTCGTATCCATTCGCCTGCTGCAGGCACCGCATTGGCCGGAACTTGGCCTGTCGCACACCCAGCAGCTCTTTTATTTTGTTCATCAGCTCCATTGAGTTTCCTGTGTTGTTGTTACCATAGGAATCAAAGTGATAGAAGGTTTTCTCTGGCCGCGAGAATACCAAAAGTGACCAGTGGGTGCCACCGGCTTCAGTGCTTTCGTTGTCGTTTAGGGCAAAGAAGATAAAGGGCTTGTTAGTCGCGTTGCTCTGGCCCAGAAGCTGTTCCAGTTCCTGTTCGTCCATATATTTCATGCACTGCGTAACCTCTGGCGCGATAAAATGCAGGTCACTATTGGTCTTGTACTTTACGTGGGAAAGGTACTCGTAATAGAAGCTCAGGATCTGGTCGTTCAGCCAGTGCGGTCCGTGAAGCAGTTGCACATCAGACATTCGAAGACAAGAATCGTGGAAGCTCAGAGAGATGGGATCCGCCTTCGAGTTGCTGCTCATTTTAGAGTGATGGTTATTGTTGAGACGCGATCGCCGCTGAGCCGCTGTAGGGTTCAAATTTTGGTTCTGGCGTGTATGTTGCCTGCAATTCGGAAAAATACGGTTTTAAAATTATGTGTATTGTTGGAGCTTGTGTGTAATTTATCAAATGCAAACTATTTATTCTGTCACCTCAGAACTTTTCTATCTTGGGGCAGCATTTTTCCGAGATTTTCAGCAGAAAACTCCCCTTTTACACAGAACCAAACAATTTCGAAGTCAACGCACGAATGACGTTTTCGCTTTCCTTTTGCTTTCGCTTTCGCTTGTTCGCCGGTTGCCAGCGTTGCTATCTTGCCCCATTTTCAATGCAACATTTAAATTAATTTGAATAAATTTAAGACAAGTTTCTCGGTGAAATTTCAAAACAGTTTTTGTATAATTCTGCAGACAATTCATTTGTTTTTGTGGGACCGAACGTGCAAAGCAAAACAAAACGAAAGATTGCGGTCGTTTGGTCGCCACGGGGTGGTTGGGGTGGAGGGACCGCGTTATACTCACCACGTAATAAGGCAGCTCTTCTAGATGGAGCCCTTTTAAATTGCCCTTTTTTGGACACTTCTCGCGTTTTATCATTTAATTGGCTTTTAAACGGCGAAAAACTTGAATTTTGTAACTGATTTTTAAATTGATAATTTAATTTTTAACGATTTTCCCTCTCAAAGAGTAATCGTCCGAGGTGGTTTTTCTAATAAGTGTTGATAAACAGCACAAACTGTGGTGAAAAGCACGAAATAACATTTTAAATTGAATGCAGTGTTAAAAAATAACCAAAAAAACAGTGCTGTAAAACAAAAAAATCAAATTTTTTTGTATTTTCTCGGTATTAAAATGGCAACACCGTCCCAAAGCAAGTAACATAAATCATTTTATTTCTCTTTATTTTGTTTTATAAACATGGTAAAATCTTGAGACAAAATATTTTTTCGATTTTTTGTCCATTCTTATTAATGGATCCCCTTGAAAATGGGGTTGTTCCCCTATAGGGTCCACGGTGATAGCTATATCTTCCCCAATTCTTATCCGATTCTCAAGCGGAGTACCTTAAACGATTTCTAGATCGATTCTCCACCATTCTGCATCAAAATCCTGAGACAAAATATTTTTTCGATTTTTTGTCCATTCTTATTAATGGATCCCCTTGAAAATGGGGTTGTTCCCCTATAGGGTCCACGGTGATAGCTATATCTTCCCCAATTCTTATCCGATTCTCAAGCGGAGTACCTTAAACGATTTCTAGATCGATTCTCCACCATTCTGCATCAAAATCCTGAGACAAAATATTTTTTCGATTTTTTGTCCATTTTTCTTGATGGATCCCCTTGAAAATGTGTTTTTCCCCTATAGGGTCCACGGTGATAGCTATATCTTCCCCAATTCTTATCCGATTCTCAAGCGGAGTACCTTAAACGATTTATAGATCGATTCTCCACCATTCTGCATCAAAATCCTGAGACAAAATATTTTTTCGATTTTTTGTCCATTTTTCTTGATGGATCCCCTTGAAAATGTGTTTTTCCCCTATAGGGTCCACGGTGATAGCTATATCTTCCCCAATTCTTATCCGATTCTCAAGCGGAGTACCTTAAACGATTTCTAAATCGATTCTCCACCATTCTGCATCAAAATCCTCAGACAAAATATTTTTTCGATTTTTTGTCCATTTTTCTCGATGGATCCCCTTGAAAATGGGGTTGTTCCCCTATAGGGTCCACGGTGATAGCTATATCTTCCCCAATTCTTATCCGATTATCAAGCGGAGTACCTTAAACGATTTCTAGATCGATTCGCCACCATTCTGCATCAAAATCCTGAGACAAAATATTTTTTTGATTTTTTGTCCATTTTTCTTGATGATCCCCTTGAAAATGTGTTTTTCCCTATAGGGTCCACGGTGATAGCTATATCTTCCCCAATTCTTATCCGATTCTCAAGCGGAGTACCTTAAACGATTTATAGATCGATTTTTCACGATTCTGCATCAAAATCCTGAGACAAAATATTTTTTCAATTTTTTGTCCATTTTTCTTAATGGAACCCCTTGAAAATGGGGTTTTTCCCCTATAGGGTCCACGGTGATAGCTATATCTTCCCCAATTCTTATCCGATTATCAAGCGGAGTACCTTAAACGATTTCTAGATCGATTCTCCACCATTCTGCATCAAAATCCTGAGACAAAATATTTTTTCCATTTTTTGTCCATTTTTCTTGATGGATCCCCTTGAAAATGTGTTTTTCCCCATAAGGGTCCACGGTGATAGCTATATCTTCCCCAATTCTTATCCGATTCTCAAGCGGAGTACCTTAAACGATTTCTAAATCGATTCGCCACCATTCTGCATCAAAATCCTGAGACAAAATATTTTTTCGATTTTTTGTCCATTTTTCTTGATGGATCCCCTTGAAAATGTGTTTTTCCCCTATAGGGTCCACGGTGATAGCTATATCTTCCCCAATTCTTATCCGATTCTCAAGCGGAGTACCTTAAACGATTTCTAAATCGATTCTCCACCATTCTGCATCAAAATCCTCAGACAAAATATTTTTTCGATTTTTTGTCCATTTTTCTTGATGGATCCCCTTGAAAATGTGTTTTTCCCCTATAGGGTCCACGGTGATAGCTATATCTTCCCCAATTCTTATCCGATTCTCAAGCGGAGTACCTTAAACGATTTATAGATCGATTTTTCACGATTCTGCATCAAAATCCTGAGACAAAATATTTTTTCAATTTTTTGTCCATTTTTCTTAATGGAACCCCTTGAAAATGGGGTTTTTCCCCTATAGGGTCCACGGTGATAGCTATATCTTCCCCAATTCTTATCCGATTATCAAGCGGAGTACCTTAAACGATTTCTAGATCGATTCTCCACCATTCTGCATCAAAATCCTGAGACAAAATATTTTTTCAATTTTTTGTCCATTTTTCTTGATGGATCCCCTTGAAAATGTGTTTTTCCCCATAAGGGTCCACGGTGATAGCTATATCTTCCCCAATTCTTATCCGATTCTCAAGCGGAGTACCTTAAACGATTTATAGATCGATTCTCCACCATTCTGCATCAAAATCCTGAGACAAAATATTTTTTCGATTTTTTGTCCATTTTTCTTGATGGATCCCCTTGAAAATGTGTTTTTCCCCTATAGGGTCCACGGTGATAGCTATATCTTCCCCAATTCTTATCCGATTATCAAGCGGAGTACCTTAAACGATTTCTAGATCGATTCGCCACCATTCTGCATCAAAATCCTGAGACAAAATATTTTTTTCGATTTTTTGTCCATTTTTCTTGATGATCCCCTTGAAAATGTGTTTTTCCCTATAGGGTCCACGGTGATAGCTATATCTTCCCCAATTCTTATCCGATTCTCAAGCGGAGTACCTTAAACGATTTATAGATCGATTCTTCACGATTCTGCATCAAAATCCTGAGACAAAATATTTTTTCAATTTTTTGTCCATTTTTCTTAATGGAACCCCTTGAAAATGGGGTTTTTCCCCTATAGGGTCCACGGTGATAGCTATATCTTCCCCAATTCTTATCCGATTATCAAGCGGAGTACCTTAAACGATTTCTAGATCGATTCTCCACCATTCTGCATCAAAATCCTGAGACAAAATATTTTTTCAATTTTTTGTCCATTTTTCTTGATGGATCCCCTTGAAAATGTGTTTTTCCCCATAAGGGTCCACGGTGATAGCTATATCTTCCCCAATTCTTATCCGATTCTTAAGCGGAGTACCTTAAACGATTTATAGATCGATTCTTCACGATTCTGCATCAAAATCCTGAGACAAAATATTTTTTCGATTTTTTGTCCATTTTTCTTAATGGATTCCCTTGAAACCATTTTCCCCTATAGGGTCCACGGTGATGGCTATATCTTCCTCAATTCTTATCCTATTCTCAAGCGGAGTACCTTAAACGATTTCTAGATCGATTCGCCACCATTCTGCATCAAAATCCTGAGACAAAATATTTTTTCGATTTTTTGTCCATTTTTCTTGATGGGTCCCCTTGAAAATGTGTTTTTCCCCTATAGGGTCCACGGTGATAGCTATATCTTCCCCAATTCGTATCCGATTCTCAAGCGGAGTACCTTAAACGATTTCTAGATCGATTCTCCACCATTCTGCATCAAAATCCGGAGACAAAATATTTTTTCGATTTTTTGTCCATTTTTATTAATGGATCCCCTTGAAAATGGGGTTGTTCCCCTATAGGGTCCACGGTGATAGCTATATCTTCCCCAATTCTTATCCGATTATCAAGCGGAGTACCTTAAACGATTTCTAGATCGATTCTCCACCATTCTGCATCAAAATCCTGAGACAAAATATTTTTTCGATTTTTTGTCCATTTTTCTTGATGGATCCCCTTGAAAATGTGTTTTTCCCCTATAGGGTCCACGGTGATAGCTATATCTTCCCCAATTCTTATCCGATTCTCAAGCGGAGTACCTTAAACGATTTCTAAATCGATTCTCCACCATTCTGCATCAAAATCCTCAGACAAAATATTTTTTCGATTTTTTGTCCATTTTTCTTGATGGATCCCCTTGAAAATGTGTTTTTCCCCTATAGGGTCCACGGTGATAGCTATATCTTCCCCAATTCTTATCCGATTCTCAAGCGGAGTACCTTAAACGATTTATAGATCGATTTTTCACGATTCTGCATCAAAATCCTGAGATAAAATATTTTTTCGATTTTTTGTCCATTTTTATTAATGGATCCCCTTGAAAATGGGGTTGTTCCCCTATAGGGTCCACGGTGATAGCTATATCTTCCCCAATTCTTATCCGATTATCAAGCGGAGTACCTTAAACGATTTCTAGATCGATTCGCCACCATTCTGCATCAAAATCCTGAGACAAAATATTTTTTCGATTTTTTGTCCATTTTTCTTGATGATCCCCTTGAAAATGTGTTTTTCCCTATAGGGTCCACGGTGATAGCTATATCTTCCCCAATTCTTATCCGATTCTCAAGCGGAGTACCTTAAACGATTTCTAGATCGATTCGCCACCATTCTGCATCAAAATCCTGAGACAAAATATTTTTTCGATTTTTTGTCCATTTTTCTTGATGGATCCCCTTGAAAATGTGTTTTTTCCCTATAGGGTCCACGGTGATAGCTATATCTTCCCCAATTCTTATCCGATTCTCAAGCGGAGTACCTTAAACGATTTATAGATCGATTTTTCACGATTCTGCATCAAAATCCTGAGATAAAATATTTTTTCGATTTTTTGTCCATTTTTATTAATGGATCCCCTTGAAAATGGGGTTGTTCCCCTATAGGGTCCACGGTGATAGCTATATCTTCCCCAATTCTTATCCGATTATCAAGCGGAGTACCTTAAACGATTTCTAGATCGATTCGCCACCATTCTGCATCAAAATCCTGAGACAAAATATTTTTTCGATTTTTTGTCCATTTTTCTTGATGGATTCCCTTGAAAATGGGTTTTTTCCCTATAGGGTCCACGGTGATGGCTATATCTTCCTCAATTCTTTTCCTATTCACAAGCGGAGTACCTTAAACGATTTATAGATCGATTCTCCACCATTCTGCATCAAAATCCTAAGACAAAATATTTTTTCGATTTTTTGTCCATTTTTATTAATGGATCCCCTTGAAAATGGGGTTTTTCCCCTATAGGGTCCACGGTGATAGCTATATCTTCCCCAATTCTTATCCGATTCTCAAGCGGAGTACCTT